GGAGGTGGAACCGGGCCTGTCTTCCCCACCCCAATGAGACCCCAAGTCATCGCCCACGAATGGCCTCTTTGGCTCCTCATCAAGCTGCTCAATGGCCATGATCCCAGAGACTCAGGAGCAGATCTCTAAACCCAGTGTCTTTTGGCAGAAATCCCTCCAGATTTAAGTGTTAAATTTTCAGAATTTCAAAACCACATGGCCCTACTGCAGCCACACGACATCATATGTTATTCATAACCAGCAATAGAACACAAATTGTCTATTGTTGCCTTTTCAGCAGATCTGAGTGTTGGGGTAAAATCTTAAATAATGGTGGGTCTGGTGTCGAATGTGATCAAAGTAGAGAGAGAGTAAGGTAGAAATCATCTGCCCCACAGGCAGGGGGAGGGTGTGGGATGGGGGTATACTGGGATTTTTGGTGGTGGAGAATGGGCACTGGTGAAGGTACGGGTGTTTCATTGTATGACTGAGACTTAGACCCAAAAGCTTTGTAACTGTTCTCACGGTGATTCAATAAATAAAATTATAAAAAATGGAAAAAGAAAAAAAAAGTAAGGTGGAGTTCATGCACAATTCAATCAGCTAATCAGTGGCTGAATAAATAGCAGTACTCCTACAAAAAAAAGAAAAAAAATAAACAAAGAAGCAACAAGGGATTCTTGTAAGGTAATAAGAATGTCTAAGGTGTATGCATACATACATATCATTTATTTTTCCTTATAAATGATTGGGGGCTGGAGTGATAGCACAGGGGTAGGGCGTTTGCCTTGTGTGCAGCCAGCCCGGCTGAGCCGGGTTTGCTTCCTTCTCCCCTCTCGGAGAGTCTGGCAAGCTATTGAGAGTATTCAATATGCCAAACACAGTAACAACAAGTCTCACAATGGAGACGTTACTGGGCGCGCTCGAGCAAATCGATGAACAACAGGAGGACAGTGTGTGTGTGTGTATAAATTATTGGACAATATCACTTAAAATACCATTCTCAATTGCAACAAAACTTAAGATATAAGCTTGATAAGTAACAAGAAAGACTTAAAGAAAACCACAAAACTTTACTGAAAGACAAAAGACAACTTGAGATATATGGTCCTGTTTGGGAAGAAAACATTTAGAAACTTTTATTTCCCCACAAGCTTTATTTAAATACATTATTTTAAAAAACTCAACAGAATTTTGTAATTTCATTATTTTCTTTCCCTGCTCCTACCATAGCAGTTAATCTTCAAAAATATGAAATTAAGTTTTCCAAGGCATAGTTAGAACTGAAGAATCCTTAGCCCTGTTCAGGGTATAATTTTGTTTTGATCAACCTTTTCATTTGGAAGTAATATCACTCATAAAATAATTAACTAGGAATTCTGATTAAGAGTTTTTGCTATGGGGCTGGAGAGATAATACAGCAGGTAGGGTGTTTGCCTTACACATGTCTGACTTGGGGTCAATCCCTGGCACCCTTTATATTCCCCAGAGCCAGCTAGGAGTGATCCCCAAACTCAGAGCAAGGACTAAGCCCTGGTCATCAACAGGCTGTGGCCCTTAAACTTAAAAAAAAAAAAATCTCTTCTACTAAGTCAGCCAGGAGAGGGAGTCTCTCAAATTTGACATAAAAATGATCTCAAAAAAAAACCAGAGTAAGGGTACAACACATGGCCAAAAGTTACAGAATCTAAGAACTGGCCTAGCCTATATAATGGGTTTACCTGGGCAGTGAGAGTTGTACATTGCAGTGGCAATGTTGTGTCAGGGGTGGCGTGGAAGGGCTATTGTTGGGTGTGTTGTTAGAATGTTATAAGCATGAAACCCTACCATTGACAGCATTGTAAAATTGTTAATTATTTTAGCTAAGATAAAATTTAACAAGAAGTTGTGGCGGCTTTGCAAAGTCTGGAACCCATGAAATACTGAAGCGTAAAGAAAAAGGTATGATCTTTCTCAGTCTGTTTTTGATTCTGTACTAACTAGACATATATGTTAGTGTGATAAAATGAAGTTTCAATTCAATAAATTATTAATCAATTAAAGATATAAGCCAACATATTATTCAGTGGAAAAAATAATTATCACCTATCCCAGAAAACACAAATGATTACCAATCCCCTACCCCCCAATCCGATTTCTTAATTTTGGATTTTGGGCTACACCCAGCAGTACTCAGTGCTTTCTTCTAGCTCTCCTCTAAGGAATCACTCCTGGAGGGGCTCAGGGGACAAGCTGGGGTCCTGGAGATTGAACCCCAGTCAACGGCGTCCACGGCATGCACCCTACCTGCTGTACTACTGCTTCAGCTTTTTTTTTTTTTTCCTTTTTCCCCCAGCACAGTAAAATGCACTCGTTAGATATTGGGTTGGTAGGAATTAAGTGAAACACAGAAGAAAGGCAAGCACTGTCCTCCCATTGTTCATCGATTTGCTCGAGAGGGCCCAGTAACTGAGATCTGTTGTTACTGTGTTTGGCATATCGAATTCCTCATGGGGAGCTTGCTAGGCTTTGCCAGTGCGGGGGAGATACTCTCAGTAGCTTGCCAGGCTCTCCTAGAGGGGCGGAGGATTGAACCTGGGTCAGCTGCATGCAAGGCAAACACCCTACTTGCTGTGTCATGCTCCAGCCCAGCAATCAGCAGTACTGTTATCGTATTTATAGTACCTAAGGGAAACATTTTAGCTACAAGTAAAATTGACTAAGATTTTTTTAACTTGCTGGTGGCTCAATTTATGTCAAATATTTAATAGAAGAAAAAAAATAACATTTAAGGGGCCGGCGAGGTAGCAAGTATCTAGAGGAGTTGTTATTTGCCTTTTATACTGCTGATCCCTGTTGGACACACAGCATCATCAGGTTCACAGAACTCAAAGCCAAGAGAAAGCCCTGAACAACCCTGTGTGTGAGGATGTGTTACCTGCTGCCACCTTGTGACTGAGTTGTGTAGGTAGGAAAAAGGACTTCCAGTCAGAACGTCTGAGTCCTTTGAGAAATAGTAACTTGAAAAATGTTATTGAAATCTTTTTATCTCTTCCTAAAAAGTGAGTCTGTAAAATAATATCAGACTTTTGGGTAAAATATTAATGATTTCTGGTAAAAATATAGCCATATTAACGTTAAAATATGCTTATGTTTTTGAGACTTTCAAATATGAGTGATTCAAAATATTATGCAATCCTGGGTCTGCACTCAGGAATCACTCCTGGCAGGCTGGGGGCGTGGGTGGGGTAGCGGGGATGGAACCAGAGCTGGCTGCGTGCAAGGCAAGCTTGTGGGAAAGTGATCGATGATGGCTGGGGCTTTCAAAACGAAGACAGCGTCAGGAATTGAAGAATATGATGACGGGAATGAAGGGCTTATAAAGTTTGCTACAACGAGTCCCGACAACCATCAAACCTTTGGGATTTTTTTTTTTCTCTCTCTCTAAAACTCTGTCAGTCAGCACAGATCGACTCTGAGCAACACAGTCCTGACGCTTCCGAGGCCGGGTCTAGAAAAGGACGGGACCGCCAGCCAATCAACAGTCTCAAAGGGTCACAGTAGAACCAATCATAAACCCCGCTGAGATCCGGATACACCAGATCCAAGCTGTTTCCCCGCCCCCCTCCCCGCCCCCTCCCTCACTCCCCGTGTTGCTACAGAGACGACGCTGACTTCCGGGCGCTCGGCGTCCTCGAGGCGCGTCACTTCCGCCCTGACTCTCTCCCAGGGTTGCCTGGCCCGGCTGAAGCGCCTTCCGGTCTTTTTCCCTACTTCCTTTTCTTCCCCGCCCCCGGAAGTGCCGTCGGGATAGCTCCCGTGGGTCAGGGGTGAGGTGGGAGGGCTGCGCGGACGTCGGTGAGTAACGACCGGGGGTTATTGGCGCTCTCGCGGCTGCGAGCTGGAAGAAACTTGCTCAGGTCTGAGCCGCGGAGGCGACGCGGCGCTCGAGACCCCCTCCCCCCCCTCAACCCCTCGAGCAGGGTCCCTCCTCCCGGGTTCCGCGGAGGCGCCCCTCTCCCGGCCTGCCGTGGGCCGCGCTGGGAGCTCGGCTCCTCGGCCCTCGTCCCTTTCCCGGCGAGCCCTGCCTGCCTCCGGGGGCGGCCGCCCGACACCCCATCTCCTGGAGCTTGAAGGAGAAGCCGAGTCCTGTGTGGCGTTCGGGGGCCTCCCCGGGGCCGCGTCCGCCTTTTCGGAGCCAGAATTCAGCCGTAGCCACCCCCAGAGAGTTGGAAGCCCCCCCCCCCCCCGGAGCCGTGTTTATTGGCTTCCGCGGTATCCAGAGCATCCCGGAGCTTTGGGGGGGGGGGGTGGGGGTGGGGGAGGATGGAGGCCGGGTGGGGAACCTCGCAGCTGCACGGAGCCGGTCGGGGGTCACTGCCCACCCACATCTTGGGTCTGGGTGAAGCGTCGGGAGGAGGAGGAAGGAGCGAAGGGCTCGAGTGAAGGAGAGTCCGCCTTTCTGGGAGGGTAAACTGAGTGCCCGCCGGCAGCGTTCTGTTCGTTCTTCCAGTGGCAGGGACCCCTGGGCTGGGCTGTTTGTTACCCCCGGATTAAGAAAACGGTTTTCAGCAGATGGTAAAATGGTGTCCACTAGAAGGGACTGATTTGGACCGATTTTTTTCTCCCCAGCAGAATAATAGCAGTACTCTCGTAAATAAATGGGAGTGCTTGTTCTGCTTTAAGGGCACTTTTTAAGTCATCGCTGGAGAGAAAAATTGAAAAGTTGGACTCCCTATTTTTTTCTTTTTTTTTGCTCCTGGTCTCTTTCCTTACCGGTGCCTTTATTGTATAAATTCAGCCAAGATTTAGCGTCCGCCTCCTTCCCTTCGCCCGCCCCCCTCTCCCCCCCCCTTTGCCTTTTCTTCTCAAGGGGAATTTGGGGAGCATGTTGCTTGGTGGAGATGGAATGGGTCCAGGTTCCAGACTTGACTGGGGAAATGGCTTAGTATTTACATCCCCAGGTGGGGTTCGCTTTATGGTTTTACATCCCGAAATCTAGTTTCATGGCATTCCCCCCCCCCCCCCCCTTCCAGGCTGAACAATATTTTTGCCAAGATGTCAGGAATAAAAAGAGCAGCTGGAGAGTCTGGCACATCCATGCCTCCGGAGAAGAAGGCAGCTGTGGAAGACTCAGGGACCACGGTGGAGACCATAAAACTAGGAGGTGTTTCTTCAACGGTATGTGGAAACATTGCGGTGATACTGTGTTTTTCTTCAGTTTGTTGCAACCTGGAAGAAAGAATTTATAGCAGCTCCTTTGGAGGCCAGGGCAGTTCATTTATTTGAAAAGAAGAGAGAAATCAAACAGCCGAAGTTAGGCGGAAAAGATACATTGACATGTGCTCTTTTTTTTCTTTTCTTGTTTTTTTTATATCACACCGGGCAGTGGTCAGGAATCACTCTTGGTAGTGCTCATGGAACCATATGGAATGCCAAGGATTGAACCCAGATGGGCTGCGTGCAAGGCAAGCACCCTATCTACTGTACTGAAACTGGCCCATGTGCTCTTTGTTTTCGTAGGTGTGGTAACTCTTTGTCCCAGTTACTGGCTATGTCTTTAAGCAGAGGGGAGCTGTCCATTGCATGACTGACATTCACTGAAAGTACGCTGAAAATGCAAGTCACTGAGAGGTTGAGGTGGCAGAGTCTTGAGATGTAGTGAAGAGCAGCAGTCTGAGGCCAGATTGCCTGGGTTTGACCTCAGCTCCAGGACCTTGTCTCCTTGAAGTACCATTTAGAGTACCTGCCTCACAGGGTCAAGGAGATAGAATGAAAGAGGCACTGTTATAAAGCTAGCATGGTATATACCCAATAGATGTGAGCCACTACAAGTTATTATTGGGAAAAATAGGAGCATCAGAGTGACTAAAATAGATACTGTCCTTGCTCTTGGGGAGTTGACACTTTCATTATAGAAATGAAATGCACTCTGATATTACTATGTCCATTAGAATGATTGTATTGGATATTAAAACGTTCGTATTGTAGGTTTTATCTCCATCAGGATTCTGTATTTCAGAGCTCAACCATTGTGGTAATGATGCTAAAGTGGTTTATGTTTGTATAGCTTACAAAAACACATACCTTGTTTTAAGGCCGAGGAGCCGAAAGAATAGGAAACTCAGAACCAATAGTTGCTGAAGAGTCATTTCTGAGGCCATGAAATATTGGGTTGAGGTGTGCCATACTGCTGCCAGGAAGTGATGTTTTGGTCTTAGCACTGTCTTCTCCTATTCTAAGGACATTTATTCATTTAACAAACACCAGTGATTTTTGCATGTCTGTTATTTGTCAGATACTGGGCTTTGATATAGGGGTGGCACTGGCAAGGGAATAGACTGCTATTGGGGAATGTGATGGCCACATGCTCTGTGGTCTATATTTGTTGGGTCACAACTTGGTAAAGGTTCAAATAGCAATGGTCACGGTCACGGTCACGGTCCTCCCTTGTTCATCCATTTGCTCGAGCGGGCCCAGTAACATCTCCATCATGAGACTTGTTGTTACTGTTATGTAAAATTTAGAAACTATAAAAGGTTTCTGAACATACAGCTACCAAAAATTAATTCAGAATCAGCCAGGTATTGAATCCAAAGTGGTGCTCTGTGCATTGTTAGGTGAAAAGGGGTCATGAGTGGAAAAAGTTTAAGAAACCTGCTCTGAGTATGCAGAGAGCATACATCCTTATTTGACCTTTTCCAGAAGGCAGTGAGGAGGGGAATAATATGCTTTGGCTTATGCTTGGAGTATTTGTTGAAGAGGGGCACAGGTGATAAATAGTGCACTTTGCAGAATTTTTTTTTTTTTTTGACTAACTCTTCCTCTTTACCTTTGGGTCAAGTGTTCGGGTTGTATATTTACTGAATCCTTTAGGCCACAGTTAGTTGAAGATTTCTGTTGGAACCAATAACTTCTCTGGATATTGAGGTTGCTTTTGTGAGTCAACTGAGATTATGGGATATAAAACTCAGATTACACTTGAGTAGTCCTCAAGTTGGAACTTTGCTGTGTGAATGGAACTGTCCACCACTATTGTGCTGAAGTATAGAAGGCTGACAAGACATAGCAAGGTGCAGATCAGTGTCTGTTATAAGAGTCTATTTAATCTTGACATGGGATCCTGGTGACTTAAACTACTGTGGAGATAGTGTTGACAGTTTTACTGATGGATTAGATTGAAACATTTGAGAAAAGAAGCAAGAGGACAACAGGTTTTTGGAAGTATGGGGTGTACAGCAACTAAGCTAAAGAGAAGTATAAGCTATGGAGGGTGAATCTTAAGTGTAGTTTTGGACATGTAAATTTGAGATATTTATTAGAAATTAGATTTCTTAGTGGAGGGGTGGTTGGACATAGCAGCTTCGAGTTTGAAGAGAATATGCTCTAAAGCAATATATTTAGGACCCTTCACTTAATTTATTTTTTGGATTTGGGGGCCATCTCTGGCAGTGTTCAGGGGCTGTTATACCTTCCGTGCTCAGGAAGGATTCCTGTCTGTCTGCAGGGGAACTTTATATCGAGCCCAGGCTAAGCCGATTTCCCCATAAGCAAGGCAAGATGCTTAACTTCCTGTACTGTTTCTGAAACTCCAAGATTTATCCTTTTATTGATGATCTTTAAAAAGGCTCTCTATTAGGAAGGGGCATAGATATGGAGGAGATTTTAAGAAAGGTCTAAGAACAGAGCCCAGGATCACTACCACATTTTCATGTCAAAGAGAGGAGACTTTTGAATTTTTTGGAGGGGATGGGGGAGGGGGGATGTATTCACCTGTGCTCTGGACTGACTTCTGCCTCTGTGTTCAGGGATCACTCTTGGTGGTGCTCAAAGAGTATATGTGGTGCCAGAGCTCAAACCAGGGTTGACCATGTGCAAAGCAAGCACATTATCCTTACTCTCTCTCCAGCTTGAGAGGAGAGATTTCAAATGTGTGACCAAGATAGGTACGAAACAAGAGTTTGGGGGCTCAGAATTTTTTTTTTTCTCTTTGGGTTACACCCAGCGATGCACAGGAGTTACTCCTGGTTCATGCACTCAGGAATTACTCCTGGCGGTGCTTGGGGAACCATATGGGATGCTGGGATTTGAACCTAGATCAGCTGCATGCAAGGCAAATGCCCTACCTGCTATGCTATTGCTCCAGCCCCTGGAGGTTCAGAATTCCAATGAATATTTCAAGGAGTTGGTCGAATGCTCCAGATCTGTTGAACAAAGAAGAGTAATTTAGTAATAGTTAATTGGGAACTTGACAAAGAATGGTAGCAGTGGAACTTAAAAGTATATGTGAGGGGAGGAAGTAGGGAAAAGAGGAGACAGAATATGCGAGGGAGGAAATAGGGAAAAGAGGAGAGACAGTACTTTGGTGGAGTGTTGATATAAAATAGAACCAAGAAAAGGGGCATCATATAGAGGGAAATGGGTTGAGGGATGGGTTTACATACATATGTAAATACTGCATATATAGTGGGAATGCATATTTGTTTATTGAAATCATTTGATCGAGGGTGAACTTGATATAACAGAAAGACATAAAGAGGAGACAATTTCCAATGTGATACCCTGTATAGGTAAGGTAAGAGGCAATGTAATATAATGTACAAGTGGAGAAATTGGCCTTAACTAAGGGCGGGAACAGTTTACTCACTGCAGCAAGAAGAAAGGTAGAGAGTATGGGTTCAGATATAGGTATAATACTAGTTGTATTGATGGGAGAGAGATGTGGACATTCTCTTTTGATTGCTTCTGTTTTTTTCTTTTTTTAGTGAAATCAGAAGCAAGACTCGTCTGAGAGTGAGGCTGGGGGAGGAAGTTTTGGAGGTTTGAAGAGACAGGAGAAGGTATGAAGTTAGTAGGATTCCTGGGCAGTACTGAGGACTGACTTGAATTTGTGATCTTGAATTTAAAGTAAGACAAGTCAGGCTGGTACTTTATCATTATTTTTTTTTTTCAGTCTTATTTAGCTAGCACATGAACATAGGTTTGGAACAGGTAGAGAATTGAATGTTACCAGTGCTGGTTTTTTTGCCAGGCAAGTACAAGAAAGGAGCCAGGAAGTAGGATATAAAAGGTGTGATTATAATAACTAATCAAGGCACTTGAGATCAGTAAAGGAGGAAGTGAGAGGAGTGAAAAACAAGAAGAATTACTGGACCGGTACCTTGTAGATACTAGAGGAGTTGAGGAACTTTTTGCATTAGGAAACTAGAAACTGAGCTGTAAATTAGGTGGTAATTGTAGAGACTATTGTGTTTGAAATTGAACTTATAGAGAGTGTGCAGATATAAATAAAGCTAATTGTACGCTTGGTTACTAAGGGAAGTAGAAGATGGGTTGAAGGGGAGGTCAAAGTATTCATGTTCCGAGACACAGGAAAGATCTTGTCCATGGGAATTGAAATTATCAGGAATGTGTATGATGGCAGTAGTATTGGAGAGTAATAAGATGCTAAAACTTAAGGAAATGTGGGGAAGTGATGTGGGCATGTATGTATGAATGAGAGCAGTAAGACACGGTGGCAGGTGGTATATACCACCCATATGAGTTGCAAAGCTAGGATGTTTTAGGGAGCAAAGTGGATAATGGCTTGGAAGTAGCAGTGAGGCTAAGGACACCATGTGACTGCAAGCCATGGGCTTCAAAGGATGTGGAAGAGAAACAGTCATGGTTGGAGAAGCCTGCAGGGAAACTTCTCAACCAGGTTTTAGTTAAAGTAAGAAGAAGAAGATGCCCTCCACCCCTTTTTAGAGAAGGCATGTCCTAGAGAAGGCCTTCGAGGTTAAAGATAATAATTTTGGTTGGAATTGTTGATGGAAATTGTTGTTATGCAAAATTTTATTTTTGCATGAATAGTAGAGAATGGAATGTACTAAGTAAAGTTTTTTTTTTAATTGAATCACCATGAGAGATACAGTTACAAAACTTTCACGTTTGAGTTTCAGTCATAACAATAATTGATCACCCATCTCTCCACCAGTGTACATTCTCTACCACCAATGTCCCCAGTATTTACCTGCCCCCCACTTCTGATCCTCACCCTGCCTGCACACTTCCGGGAGCAGGGTTTTATAGTCTCTGGGTCTTGGCCGTTGATGGGATTACACGGCGCGGGGTGTGGGGGGGGGGGGGAGGGGGGAGCCGGGCAGTTGGTGGGTGTGACTCCTGCCTACTGGAAGATGGAGGATCTGGGTGGAGGATGCTCAGCCCCAATCCGAGCAGTCTTGGAGATCTCAGCCCCGGGACCCGCATGCCTTTGTTCCTCTGCCAGTACCTTCATGTGTGTGGAGAGTGGTCTCAGCATGGTTGTGGCTGGTTCTGGAGGTCTTCGGCTGCCGGGGCTCTGCTTGGGGTGGGGAGGGAAACTCAACCCACCCCCGCTCCAAGGGACCCCAGCGAGGACAGCCAGGTGCGGGGTCAGGAGACTCTGCACTGTTCTCTTCTGTTCTCTTCTGTTCTCTTCCATATGATCCCTCAATACCAATTCCCAGAATTGGTATTGAGGGGTCATATGGAAGCTCAGTTTCTAGTTTTTGAAGGAATGTTCATATTGTTTTCCAAAAAGACTGAACCATTTGGCATTGCCACCAACAGTGAGTGTCCATTTCTCCCCACATCCACGCCAGCACTTGTTGCTTTTGTTCTTTTGAATGTGTGCCAGTCTCTGTGGTGTGAGATGACATCTCATTGATGGTTTGATTTGTATCTCCCTGATGATTAGTGATGTTGAACATTTTGTCGTGTCTTTTGGCCATTTGAATTTCTTTTTTGAGGAATCTTCTGTTCATTTATTCTCCCCATTTTTTGATGCGGTTGGAGGTTTTTTCTTGTACAGTTCTACTAGTCTTGTGTATCCTGGATGTTATTCCCTTATCAGATGGGTATTGGGTAAATATTCTTTTCCATTATGTGGGCTCTCTGTATTATGGTCACTGTTTCTTTTGAGATGCAGAAGCTTCTTAGTTTAATGTAGTCCCATTTGTTTATATTTGTTTCCACTTGCTTAGTCAGTGGTGTTTTATCCTTAAAGATGCTTTTGTCTTTAATGTCATGGAGGGTTCTTCCTACATTTTCCTCCAAGTACCTTTAAGAGTATCTGTGAAGTTTAGTAACTTGTATGAGCCGGAGGAGGAGATGGGAAATTTGAGGCCCTTGCTTTGGATTTCAGGCACTACCTGGAATTGAGAATTCTCTTTCTCTTTCTATGTTTTTCTCTTTTGGAGGGGAGAGAGGCTCCCAAATGGTGCTCCAGAGACCTGGAGACCCTTTCCAGAGCTTCTTGGCCAATTGGGTGAAGGATGCATTGCTGATTGGGCCCTGTGGCAGTGTTTGATGAACCGCGTGGTGTGGGGATAGTGCTGTGGTTATGTGCAAAGCATTCATTTTTACCTCTGTATTATCTCCTCTCCTTCCGCTGCCTGCCTTCAAAAAAATTCTTAAAGAGCCACATTCTTGCATTGCTAGGGGTGCCAAGGATGAAACTCAAGGCAATGTGGGTGCTAGACATGTTCTCTACTGTTGTGAACTATCTCTCGAATCCTGTTTTCTTTTTAAAAGTGGAAGCAAAGTGATCTGCTCAGTGTGATAGGATGGGGTCAGGGCTTGGGAGAGTTTGATGTCACACTAATGTGGAATAGGAGATAACTGCTTCTCTGTACAAGTTACAGTATCTGGCAGTTTAGGAATTCAGCTCTCCCTTAATGATCTTATTCAGAATTTTTACCTCTGTAGGGTTAGAATAATCAGACATGTGGATTGCATTTGGACTGTAATTTGTTTGCTGAAGGTAGAAAATTGGGCTCTACAGGCAGGTACATTGAAGGAATATACATTGTACATTGTACATTGAAGGAATGTGCAATAGGGTATAGTCAAGTGGGCACAGAAGGGACTGTAAGAGAGGAAGTAAGATTTCAGACGTGGCTTTGGAAACATGGCTTAAGCGCAGTGAAGGAGTCATTAGAATTAATCTGTCAAAATACAGCCTTGATGCTAGAACAGTGCTTTCTAAAATGGACATACCACACCAAAGGTTTGGGGGGGGGGGGGAGATGCCAGAATAATTGGAGTGGAGGGGTGGGGTGGGATGCAGTTGTAATGATAGCCTGGAGTGCAATTGTTTGCTTAAAGAAGGTTGATTTTCAGGACGTGGTGAGCTTTTCTTTTTCCTGAAAATTTCTAGTAGGTCAAGGAGGTTTGGAATTTCTGCTAGGGGGTGAACTGTTTTGTCACATGTTTACATGTTCACTTTTTTTTTTTAATCACTGGACATATTGGCCAGTCTTGACAGTGAATGGCAGTACGAGCTGACAGAGTTGATTGAGTAGAATATAATCTAGCTAGATGGGAAGCATCACAGTTTGTGGATGTTTGTGTGGCTAATCAGTGAGATTGGTAAGATTAAAGATCTAGTGTAAAATGTGTCGTTTTCCTCTGATCGTAAATGCTCTCTGCTTTTATCTCAACCGCTCCTACTTCCTAGCCAGTTATTTGGTTACAATTTTTTTATGTATAGATTTAATTCATAGGAAATCACTTACCTAATCTCTTTGTGGAAACTAATAAGATTGGTTTCCTGATGGGGCAGGAGGAATTAGACATTAAAACACTGCAAACCAAGAATCGCAAGCTGGCGGAAATGCTGGATCAACGGCAGACCATTGAAGATGAACTCCGTGAGCACATTGAAAAACTGGAGCGAAGGCAGGCTACTGATGATGCCTCATTGCTGATCGTCAACCGCTACTGGAGTCAGGTAGCATACTTGTTGATTTGCTCAGGTTTTATTTGAGCATTTTAACTTTCAGTAACCTCTTCATTTTTTTTTTTAATACTAGACAAGACAAAGTTAAAATCTTTATTTTGGACTTTTTGGGGCACATCAGGTGATGCTCAGAGGTTACACCTAACTCTGTACTCAGGAATCACTCCTGGTAATGCTTAGGGACTATATGGGATGCCAGGAATCAAACTAGGGTGGCCACATGCAAGGCAAATGGCCCTATCTGCTGTACTATAGCTCCAGCCCCAAGAAAGTCAAGTCTTTAATGGGAGCAAAAGTGGAGCATTGAGAACCAAGTCACTTGATAAAGTAGCTCTAAAACATTCAGAATCAGAGACACTAATGACAATTAAAGAAGGGGTATAGGGCTGGGACTGTACCCACTAATACATAGGACAGTGACAGAAACATGTTTTATATTTCTAATTATTTTCTTGACCATTTCTTTTATGTATAAATATTATTTTCAATTGATATTTTATGGTTTACAACACTACCAATAATGGTTCCTCATGCACATAATTCCAAAACCACACCCATCACTGGTGGACATATCTCCCTTCTCCAAAGTCCCCCACCAATACCCTTTCCTCACAGTCCCTCCCTCAATTGTGTATAATAATCTCCCATTATGTTGCCTTTGTACCTTGTTGTTACCTGTTTATCTTTAAGTTCAACAGTTTCTGTTTTTAATTTAATTATGAAATAAAAATGTATATGATATATGAAATACATGTTAATCACCTATTAGTTATTGCCAAGGCTTATAGCCTACAGAAAACTTTTTTTTTTTTATTGAATCACTGTGGGAAAAGTTAACAAAGTTTTCAGGTTTAAGTCTTGGTCATGCAGTGATCAAACACCTTTCCCTTTACCAGTACTTATTTTTCACCACTAAGAACCCCAATCTACCCCCCTCCCACCCCTCCCAATGCCTGTGAGGCAGATGAATTCTACTTAATTCTCTTTCTACTTTGATTGCATTCATTATTTCGACAAAAGATGCACCATTATTGTTTAGAGTTTACACCCAACAATCAGAACTGCTGAAAAGGCATTGTGAAATAATTTGTTCTCTACCACTGGTTATGAGAATCATATGATTTTCGATTTCTGATATTTTACTTATTAAGCCTGGAGGGATTTCTCCCAAGAGCCAGATAATTACGAGATTGGTTTCTGTGGCTCTGCAGCCATGGCCGTGCCGGAGAGCCGCTCGTGGGGGGCAACACGTGACCTCGTTAGGGCGTGAAGGACGAGCTGGGAACGCCCTTCTTCCCATGAGGTTGCAGTTGCCCCATCACTGCAGGCTCATACCTGGCTTTCCAAAAAGCTCCAGGGTGGCCGCCATCTTGCTGCCCAGGGGGAAAAAGGCGAAAAGGAGCGACACCCCTTCCCTCCTGGGGAGGCATGGTACTGTGGATTAATGCATAGTCCATTTACTTTTCTGTCGCAAGCTGCTGGGCTCTGCATTGAGTCTTTGTGCCTCTGGAGCCATGGCCGTGCCAGACAGCCGCTTGTGGGGGGCAACTCGTGACCTCGGTAGGGCATGAAGGATGAGCCAGGAACGCCCCCCTTTCCATGAGTAACCTCTTCATTTTTAAGTTGTGTCTTGTGGATTTTTTTTTTGTAATTGTTCCTTTTCCAGTTTGATGAAAATATCCGTATCATCCTTAAACGCTATGATTTGGAGCATGGTTTGGGAGACCTCCTCACAGAAAGAAAAGCCCTTGTTGTGCCTGAGCCAGAACCAGACTCTGATAGCAACCAGGAGCGGAAAGATGATAGAGAGAGAGGTGAGTCCTTGGGCAGCTCTCCACTGCAGGTAGCTGGGCTTTTGAAGTAGAGCTTGCTACGAGGCTCTCCAATTGAGGGGGAGAAAATTAATATTGGTAGTTCCAGTTTTAAAATTTTGGGGGTTCTTTTTTCCCCCCTGTGTCCTTAGGGGAAGGGCAAGAACCAGCTTTCTCTTTCCTTGCTACTTTGGCCAGTAGTTCCAGTGAAGAGATGGAATCTCAGCTTCAGGAGCGTGTAGAGTCTTCCCGTCGAGCTGTGTCCCAGATTGTGACCGTCTATGATAAATTGCAAGAGAAAGTGGAGCTCTTATCGCGAAAGCTAAATAGTGGAGGTAAGACAAGAAACAGAAGGTACAGGAAGCAGAGAAGAGGACAAAAGCACTGATCTTTGCTATAATGTTTTGGCAGGATTCCATCTTGGATTTTTTTTTTTAATTGTATTGAATCACCGTGAGATAAGTAAAAGCTTTCATGTTTGGGTTACAATCATACAATGATCAAACATCCATCCCTCCACCAGTGCACGTTCCCCACCATCAGTATCCCCAGTATACCCCCCCACCCCCGCCTCAATGGCAGACAATATTCCTCATACTCTCTCTCTACTTTTGGGCATTATGGTTTGCAGTAAAGACACTGAGAGGTAATCATGTTTGGTCCTTTATCTACTTTCTGCACACATCTCTTATCCCGACCATTTCCTAAAGCCATCATTTTCTTAGCGATCCCTTCTCTATTCCAGCTGCCTTCTCCCCTTTGCTCATGAGGCAGCCTTCCAGCTGTGGAGCAATCTTCCTGTTCCGTTACATCTTGTTTTAATTGCATTCTATGGACTCCTAAGCTCCAGTGTTACCAATGGTGTTTTCGCTGCAGCCTGTTAGCATTATTGAAGTGTTTTTTGTTTTGGGCCACATGGCAGTCATACACTTTAAAAAACTGAGGAAAGATGCTATCAGTTCCAGTCAGAGACTCTTTGTTAACCATTTTTATGTATAGAAGAATTAATTTTATTATTTAAATATAAAGTTGATCTGATATCAGGATACTTATATAATCTATTGATTTATTAGGGATAATGTTTTCTTATGAATCACTGTCACTGTCCTCCTGTTATTCATCTATTTGCTCGAGCAGGCACCAGTAACGTCTCATAATAAATTGTGAGACTTGTTGTTACTGTTTTTGGCATATCAAATACCTCACAGGTAGCCTTCCTGGCTTTGAAGATACTGTATCCTGTTTTAAATAAGCTTTGTTTCTCTCTTTTTATTACCTGTAATATCTTCCAAGAAAGAGCTAACTCAGGTTTTAGTGTTATTAATGATCACGGTTTCAAAATAAAATGAAAAGTAATATATTTGCATGGACAATAAACCAAATGTGATTATTTAATATTAATGCAGTAATTTGCATTTGTATAGTAACTATATAATTAAACTATAAATCTAAATATCTTGATTTTCCAGCCTGTGAGATAGGTAGAGCAGCAGATAGGGTGTTTGCCTTGTATACAGCAGATTTGGGTTCAATCCCAGCACCCCCCACAATGGTCCCCCAAGCACACCCAGAAATAATTTGAGTGCAAAGGCAGGAATAAACCCTGGGCATTGCCAGATAATGGACAAAAAAATAAATATCTTGATTTCATGTTTTCATTTTATAGCCTAATTGTGCGGACACCCGATCGGCATAGCGCACTATAGCCCAGAACTTGGAGTGATAGCACAGCAGTAGGGCATTTGCCTTGCACGCAGCCAACATGGCCGACCCTAGTTCGATTCCTCCGCCCCTCTCGGAGAGCCTGGCAAGCTACCGGGAGTATCTCGCCCGCCCGGCAGAGCCTGGCAAGCTCCCCGTGACGTATTCGATATGCCAAACACAGTAACAACAAGTCTCATGGAGACGTTAATGGGTCCGCTCGAGCAAATCGATGAACAACGGGAGGACAGTGACAGTGACAGTGACAGCCTAATTGTGATAGCTTTTTGGGGGAGGGTTTTTGAACCGCAACTGATAGTACTCAGCTATTCCTTCTCTGTGTTTAAGGTTACTCCTGGTGCATCTCTGAGCGACCCTTTGTGGTACTGGGGATAGAACCCTGAGAGGGCACATACAAGACAAGCACCTTAACCCTGTACTTTATATCAGGCCCCTAGTCATAATAACCAGTGTTTATCCTTAAGTTGTTGGACTTTCATTTTTGAAAGAAAAATTTTACTTGAATTATTAAGTAGGCAAATAAGAATTTATTTCTGTTATTTTAAGTAGGTGTAAGCTAAATTATCAGCACAGTGAATAGGATTTATTTTGCTTTTCTGTTTATGTGCTTGTGCATTTAAAAATTTTATTAGAGGGGCTGGAGCAATAGCACAGCGGGTAGGGCGTTTGCCTTGCACGCAGCCAATCCGGGTTCAATTCCCAGCATCCCATATGGTCCCCTGAGCACCGCCAGGAGTAATTCCTGAGTGCAGAGCCAGAAGTAAACCCTGTACATTGCCAGACGTGACCCAAAAAGGTAAAAAAATATATATATATTAGAAATTTAAAATTTTTAGGTCAAAAATATTTAAAACCAGACTGTCAAAATCCTCTTCTTCTCCTCCCCAAAGATAACTGTTGTAAACAATGTAATTTGTATCCTCCCAGACCGGCTTCTTTTTTTATTTGGTGTCAGACACTGAGTATTTAGTGGGTGTTTTTAGTTGTGGGTGAGTGTATGACTGTTAACACAGGGACATAATGTAAAAGGAGCTGAGTCTTACTGCTTTATCCTTTGTACTTTGTTATAAGGTGTTAAATTCTAATTATATGCTACTATGGATAAACCATATTTATTATGGTAAATATGATAAGTAGCATATTCAGTAAATATATGGTAAATAGTGTATTTTTTATGTAGATACAATATGTCTTAGAGGCTAAAACTGTCAGTGTTAAACTGATTTTATAAGTGAATACCAAATAAAATGTTACATTTTTAAAAAGAACTAAAATGAAGGCTTGAGCAATAGTACAATGGGTAAGGTGATTGCCTTGCGTGAGGCTCACCCAGCTTCAATTCCGACATGCACTGTGGTTCCCCGAGACTGCTAGGATTAATTCATTAGAGCACAAACAGGAGTAAGCCCTGCACACTGCTGCATGTGTCCCCAAAGCTAATAAATAAATATAAAGAAAAGAAAAGTAGTATATTAACTAATGATTTAAAATTATTTTTAGGAACAGAGAGCTTGGTCAGGGGTCAGGGCATGCGTATGGATTGGAATTTTCTCCCCAGAACTACATGGTCCCTCCACTAAGCCTTGCTGGCCCTTAAACACTGCCAGTATCGCCCCATTGCCCCCCAGCTGGACCCAGGCAACATCTTGTTGTCAGGTATTAATGTTTTATTTTGTTGGTCGTGCGGCCACATCGGTGGTGCTCCCAGTGGTGCTCGGGGGAATACTGAGAATTGAACTCGCAGCTCCTGAGCAGAGTGTGTGCTCAGCCTGCTGAGCTATCTCTCTGGCCTATGCCTTAGCATTCAACCACCTGACCCAGTTGCCCTGCAAAGTTGTTTTTTGTGTTTTTTGTGGTCATTGTCACAACATGTCCCTTTCCTCCCATTATTCATCAATTTGCTCGAGCGGGCCCAGTAATGTCTCCATTGTGACACTTGTTACTGTGTTTGGCATATCAAATACGTCACGTTGTAGTTTGCCAGGTTTTGCTGTGCGGGAGAGATACTCTAAGTAGCTCTCTGAACTCTCCGAGAGGGGTAGAGGAATCGAACCTGGGTCGGCCGGGTCGGCTGCGTGCAAGGCAAAAGCCCTACCCGCTGTGCTATCATTTTTGGCGGTATGATAATCGTTTTATTTTTTTAACTTCATAAAATAGGATGTAAGTTAAAAATAAACCATTATTGCCAATTATTAATATCTAAGCCATTAGGTAACACAGAAGGCAATTGGTAAGCTGAACGGTCATTGTGCTTTGTTACTTCCAAGTTTTTTTTTTTTTTAATGCTTGACTTTGGATAGGATACTAAGAAAATGAAAATTTAGTCTCTGGTTCTTAATTTGGTTTCAGAAACAGAATCACTTTGGGATGTTTCTGAACATTGACCCTGCTTATGGAAATTCTTACCTAGTAGGTATGGGGTGGGTCTGATTTTCAAAATTCTGATTTTCAAAATGATGGACAGTCCTGGTTGAAAGTCACTAAAGTGAACTATCTGTTCTGTGTTCTGTTTCTAAGAATGATTCAAGGAGTGAAATTATTTCATAATTTTTCTTCCTGATTAATGTTTTTAATGGGCAATCTCTGTCCTGATAGTATCCGATTTCATTTCATAACATTTGGATTTAAGCTGTTTATCATATTTGCAACTCTTAATTTTAAGCATATTAATTTGGGGTATAATCAGTTCTATAAATTGACCTACCTTCTTTACAGTGAACTTCAGGGATGCCCTTAGCATGTTAGTTCAGATAAAAAATTCTGTGCTCTTTTTAATTTATCCTTTTATAGAGGCTCTTTTGAGCACAGGTTGGTTGTATTTCCATAAGCAAATCATCTAACCTCTAGGTACTCACTCTGACATGTCAAGATAATAAAGTCAGTTTAAAATTTGATACTATCAATGCTAAACTAAAGTATAGTTCTTACTCCTCAGATAATCTGATAGTGGAGGAAGCAGTACAGGAGCTGAATTCCTTCCTTGCACAAGAGAATATGAGACTGCAGGAATTGACAGACCTCCTTCAGGAGAAGCATCACACCATGTCTCAGGAGGTACTTCGTTGTTTCTAGTGACCAAAGGAAGACATAACTCAGAGTTTTCAGTGTTTCAACAGTCATTTTGATCAGAAAGCCTGTTTTTGTCTTAAAATGTGGGAAGAACCGAAGCAGCCATTTTTTGGAATCCCATATAAGGTTAAGGAAAGAAAAGAACCATTTCTCCTAGACTATATTTCTTTTTAAAATAGATGTTTTTGTGTCTGTGTGTGACATTTGGGGATCTGGGGCCACACTGAGTGCCTAGCACTCAGCAGCTTCTCCTGCCCTTGTGCTCAGGGTTCACTGCTACTGGTGCTCAGTGCATTGCTGGGATTGTCCTGGGGTCATTTACATATTAGACAAAAACCTTAACCCCTTTACTGTTTCTCTTTCTGTCCCCTTAATAGATGTTTTAAGATCATTGTCTTCAGGAGGAAATACACTCTAGAAAGGATTTTTTTTGTTTTTTGGCCGTACCCTGTGTGTTCTGGGTATTATACTCATGGCTCTGTGATGAGGGATCACTCCTGACAGGCCCTGGTGACCATATGACCTCTCAGGGATTGAATCCAAATTTGGGTCAGCCATGTGCAAATCATGTGCTTTTCCCACTGTACACTCTCCCTTACCTCTTTATAAAACAACATGCCAACCTCCTAAATAATGAATTTCATTAAATATTAAAGACCATGTACAGTGTTACTGAGAAATGGATTGGTGAAAATTCAGTTGTGGGTGGGGCACTAGCAACGACTATATTGATAATGATGTAGAAGTTTGATTATGGGTTTTCATTAATACTTCAACACAGTACCATGACCAAACCATATCAAGATTTCGGTATTTGTTTTTTTTATATAATGTGTTTGAGATATAGTGATAAAACATTTCAAGGCTTCTGACACTCACACTTGGGTATGATTTTGGTTAATTGAAAGTATGCTATGCTGAAATTTAACCATATTTTGGCCACCTTATTCTCAGACTTACTAGTAAGTTAACAGTTTAACTATTTATGTAGTGCTTGGCAATTTAGACAATTTAAAAAATTTCTCACTAGTGTTCACATGACTTATGTTACTACTAAGGGAAACAAATTCAGTGAGGTGGCTGACTGGCTTGAGGGCACAGAACCAGAAAGTGATTGCACTATAATTCCAGCGTAAGTCTATTTAACTTCAAAGCTCATTTTCTTCATTATGCCCTGGTTTCCTATACAACATTTAAGGTTTCTTGTGGATTGATTATGTGGGAATTCTCTGGGCATTTACTAATTTATGTGGATTCTTATTAGTATTCAAAGATGTTAGAGAAATAGTGGTACTATTAAATCAGTTGGAATGTAATGATAAAAATGGAAACATTTTATTGTGTTCTGAGACATAAATTGGATGTTATCAAGATTAAAGATCTTCCCTTCTGACGTTTCCCCAGCTACAACTCTTTGTTTTGCTGAGCTGGGCTGATGCTGAAGATTGGTCTCATGGCTGACTGATAACTATTCTGGGAACTCACCTTAGTTGTGTATTAGAATGTTTCTTGATGCAGTTGTAGGTAGTTGAACTTCTTAGGTAGCAACTGGCTTATTTCAGAGAACGCCAGGCAAAAGCAGTATTTCTTTCAGACATGGTGTCAGAGTTGTGTAGTGTCATTCCCACTGGATCAGTAAAGTTCTACTTTTTAAGAGGAGGGGACAAGGATTCTACCTCTGAATGTTTGATGAATTTTTGTTTAAGGCAACTCATAGGATGTGAAAATGAATGTGAACACATGTCTTTATAGATTTTTAATGAGGATACCTCATGAGACTAAATTAACAGTGAACAACACAGTTTTTACGGTTTCCGATTCTAGGTTACCCTGGGGTCAGTTAAAAAAAGAGAATGGAAGTTTTCCATTTATTCTTCATGAGTATTTTGTGGATAGGAAAAATTGGGGGTAAAGGTAGCTGTCTTGGGTGGAAGAGATGGCTGATGGGCTGAGTTATGTAGGAGACCCAAGTTTGATCCCCAACACTGCATGGTTCCTTGAGCACCAGTGGGAGTATTCTTGAACATGTAGCAGTGTGTAATCTAAAAATCAGAGATAGATGTCTTTTCTCAGTGTATATTTAATTTTTTTTTAATTTTTTTAGTTTTTGTGGTGGTCTGGGATAGGAGGAATGGATTGGGCCAGTCCTAGGGCTTCTCAAAGGGTACTCCCAAGCTTTTTATGCAGGGGTCATTCTAGCAGTATTCAGAGGGCCAGATGCAATGCATGCACCCAGTCAATTAAACCATCTCTCTAGCCTTCTGCGTTTTCTTTAAGTCAAAGACATTGTCATTTTTCTCTTAAAGTATACACTTTAGGTCTGGGAGAATGGCCGAAAGAGCTAGAATGAGTGCTTTGCAAGAGGGAGTGAGCCTTGATATTGCCTGGCCCTCTGAACATTGCTGGGAGTAACCCCAAGTTCTGTGCCACAGGTAGCCCCTGTGTACTGCTGGGTGTGGCCTCAAAGCCATGAATAAATAATGTACATTTTGATGGTTTGTTATCTATAGAAACGTTCTCAGAGAAAAAAAAATTATTAAATTTTAAATGGTATTTTTCTTACATAAGAGTCTTTATAGAGTCTGGTAGTTTTCAAAATTGTACTTGTCCCAGAACTATTAAAAGAACCTGTGAATGTAAATCATTTCTTCTCTAACTTGGTTTTTCTTCAGTTATATTTTATGAATATTTGTCTTTGGGCTACTATAGTTCTCCAAGCTGCAGAGTAAAGTGGAAACAGCTGAATCCCGAGTGTGTGTCCTGGAGTCCATGATTGATGACCTACAGTGGGATATTGACAAAATTCGAAAGCGGGAGCAGCGACTCAACAGACACTTAGCAGAAGTTCTAGAACGGGCAAGTGCTTTTATTCAGACTTTATAGGAGAGGAACCATTTTAAGGAGTCAGTTCTGAAAAGATGTAATTAGGTAGAAATACTTGGGTGCGGCATGAACTCCTTTGAAACTACAGATTCCTACAAGTCTCTCACTAAAGAATCTTTGTCTTTCTTGTAGGTGAATTCAAAAGGTTATAAAGTCTATGGTGCGGGTAGCAGTCTTTATGGAGGCACAATCACCATCAATGCTCGGAAGGTAACTTGCTCTGGACATATTTGTCACCTGTTTAGCAATTTGTTCTTAAGTAGCAGAGTGAGATTTTGCTGGGAGAGTGGCTCAGTGAAGAGAGAAGCTTAGGAATTAGAGTAATTTAAAAATTTCTTTATTCTCATTTTCCTATTTTCTGCTTCTCAGTTTGAGGAAATGAATGCAGAGCTTGAGGAGAACAAAGAGCTGGCTCAGAACCGGCACTGTGAGCTGGAGAAACTTCGTCAAGACCTTGAGGAAGTCACTACACAGAATGAAAAACTGAAGGTAGAAGACCTCAGTGAGGAACAGTCAAATGGAACTCTGTACCCATCAACTGATATACATACTTGCCAACCCTCATAATCTATAAGGGAAACAAAACTAAGTTGTTGGTACAGATTTATTTTTATATTTGTTTATTATTTGTACCCACTTTGTTCTTAAAAGTATTTAAAACAGCCTATAAAGACAGACTAAATCAAGGTTCTCCAATTTAAGTCCCCCCCCCCCCCTTTGGCCCTCCTAAGGTGGAATTGCGGAGTGCAGTTGAGGAGGTGGTTAAGGAGACCCCAGAATATCGCTGCATGCAGTCACAGTTCTCTGTTCTGTACAACGAGAGCCTGCAGTTGAAAGCACACTTGGATGAGGCTCGGACCCTGCTTCATGGCACTAGAGGGACCCACCAGCGCCAGGTTGAACTCATTGAGGTACCAGCCTTACTTTGTCTTAGCTTTTTCGCTTCACATTTTGTTTTACTTTCCTAGGTACAAGTGATCTTTTATGAATTCAGCTAACATCTATAGAGTGACTGCAGGTCTTTGCTAGTTGTTAGGCATCTTGTTCTTGAGAATCATACAGTCTTAGACCAGGTGTATGACACAGAATGGTATGTATGGTGTGCTTGCGACTCTGGGTTCAATCTCTGACACTGAAGGAAAAGAACAGCCCCCCCAAAAATCATAGTCTAGTGGAAAGAAGAGTATTCTTTATAATGCCATGTAGTTTGGGTATGCTGTAGAGGCATATCAAAATATGTGAAGATAGGAAATACATCTCATTCAATTGGAACTTTCTTGATTCTATTTGCCAAAGTGAAGTATGAATCTTAATGATATATACAAGTTTATGGCAGAGAAAAATAGATATTTTCAGTAGTGAAACAAGCAGATATAAAAATAATAAGTCTGAAGTCTTACACGTGTGAGAGAAAAGTTAGTGGAAATTGTTGCATGAATATTCGTTCAGTTGGAAGTGCTGAGACAAGGAATGCAATAGAAATTATATTTCACGGAGGGTCTGCGTTTGCTCAGACCCTGTGACAAAGGTAGAGTGCCCTGAAACCTCCTTTTATTACCATCCTACTGTTCATACCTCTAAAGGGCTCAATACAGTGAGGTCATCAATAAAGAAGTTATGGGAAGAAGGGAAGAATGTACAAAGACAAAGAAATTACAAGAAGAACATGCAAAGCTGAAAGCTTTTCTGTATACTGAAAACAAACAAACAGGCTAAGTACCTGAGATCTGCATGCTGAAAACAAACAAGCTAAGTACCTAGGATCTGCATACTGAAAAAAAAACAGGCTAAGTACTTGGGATCTGAATACTGCGAACAGGCTAAGTAAGCACCTAGGATCTATGAGAAGAGGAAGACCCGACGGAAATTTGTACAATTATTTACTGAAGGCAACTTAAAGATGTTCAGCCTCATCCAAACCAGTCAGGACATGCGAGTAATCTCGCCTATTTTCATGGGGCCCTTGTTCTGCCCGTGTGCGGTACAGTCTACATGGGCTCATCCTAATGGCTTAGTCCGGCCCCAACAAGAAATTGTATTACTGCTTATAAACATAGTATGTAATGCTATATGTAAAGAATTTTTTCTAATTTACTTGTGTCTTCATAGTAATTAAGGTAATGTTTATAGTGATTGATCTTTTACTGTGCAAAATGAACAGAATTTTATGTACCTTTACATATGGTTATATTTTGGTTTTGAGATTTATCGTAGTTTACCAGCGAAATAATGATGTTTTAGAATTAGGGCCATTTCCTTTAGTTCTTTAGTACCTTGCTTCTTAAATCACTGTTTTCTTACAGCGGGTAGGGCTTTTGCCTTTCACATGGCCCACCTGAGTTTGAGCACCAACATCCCATATGGTCCCCCGAGCACCGCCAGGAGTAATTCCTGACTGCAGAGCCAGGAGGAATCCCTGAGCAGTGACGGGTGTGAGCCCCAAAAAGCAAAAAAAAAAAAAAAAAAAAAAAAATCACTGTTTTGTAACTGCTGCATAATTATTGGAACTTTTTTAGAGTAATTCTTTTGTGTCGTTTTCTTTTTTATCCTTTCAGTTTCAGATCACATCTTTAGGAGATGATAATAGACTATGATGCAATTTTCAAATTTGGTAAGAAATTTTGATTGGTGTCTCTTTTCTGTGTGTAGCGAGATGAGGTTAGTCTTCATAAGAAGCTGAGGACTGAAGTTATCCAGCTAGAAGATACACTGGCCCAGGTTCGCAAGGAATACGAAATGCTGCGGATAGAATTTGAGCAAACCCTTGCTGCCAATGAACAAGCAGGTATAACCTCTTGCTTCACTTAGCATTTTGCTGAACATAAAAGATGCAATATTTTCACCAGGGTTTGTAGTACCCTCACTCAGTGCTAAGCTAAAAAGGTCTTTTATTTATTTATTTCTTTGTTTTTGGGCCACACCTGGTAGTGCTTAGAACTTACTACTGTCTCTGTGCTGTGGAGACCATATTGAGGCAAGGGATTGAATTTGTGTGGCTGCATGAAAAGCAAGCACTTTACCTTCAGTACTCTCTCTGGTCCCTTAGCTGAGAAGTTCTGAAGTACCTATATTCACATATATTCATTTTGGTTTACTGCCTGGTATTTGTTTTTTGTTTTTCTTAAGTTTAAAGTGAACAGTTTATTTTTGTCTTCTGGGAAGGAATTTTCTTTTTGGTCTTTTTCACCGTTTCTCAGGTATCCCTTCATTTTCTCCTTGTGCTTTTGCCTTTATCACAATTTTCATAACGTTGCTGTTGTTGTCTTTAAGGTCCCATAAATCGGGAGATGCGTCACCTTATCAGTAGCCTCCAGAATCATAATCACCAGCTGAAAGGGGAGGTCCTAAGATACAAGCGGAAACTGAGAGAAGCCCAGTCAGACCTGAACAAGGTAACCAGGCATAGAATACTCCTCTGTATTGTTTGCTATTAGGTCTATCAGGCTGTTTTGAATGCAGAAGGCTCTGTGATCCCCAAGTGATGCTAGTCCTTTCTTTTTCCTCCCAGACACGTCTGCGCAGTGGCAGTGCCCTCTTGCAGTCTCAGTCTAGTACTGAGGACCCTAAAGATGAACCTGCAGAGCTAAAACAAGATTCTGAAGACTTACCCAGTCAGTCCTCTGCATCAAAGGCATCTCAGGAGGAAGTTAATGAAATTAAGTCCAAACGGGATGAAGAAGAACGAGAACGAGAAAGGAGGGAGAAAGAGAGAGAGCGAGAAAGAGAGAGGGAGAAGGAAAAGGAAAGAGAACGAGAGAAGCAGAAATTAAAAGAGTCAGAAAAAGAGAGAGATTCTGCTAAGGACAAAGAGAAAGGAAAACATGATGATATAAGGAAAAAGGAAGCAGAAATTATCAAACAACTGAAGATTGAACTCAAGTAAGATCTATGTTTCGAATAACTTTCTGACTCAAAGGCTAAGGTCAAGACATGCATGAAAATTTTGTTTGATGGCATAGATTAGGTCATAGTTGTGTTAATTTGTATATTAATAATGTAAAGTAATTGTGTAATTAATTTGATAGTTTGAGTTATCATACAGCCATGATGAACTTCATGGCTATTGTTGTTTGGTTGAGTAGTCAGGTCGCAGAAAATATCTTAGTGGTTTAGTCTTACTGAATTCCTTAATATTATTCTTCAGGAATCCAGATTAATAGAATGGATCTCTGATTAAAATAATAGTTAAGAGAATCTGTGGAAATTGGTACTGTTATTTATTAAATTTGGGTAGATTGCTGACTTTAAAATGTGTGAACAACTTTGGCATATGAAACTAGAGTCAAAAAATTTTAGGTCGGGACTGGAGTGATAGTACAACGGTAGGGCATTTGTCTTGCTCACGGCCGACCCAGGTTTGATGCCTGACATTGCATATGGTCTCCTAAGCATAGCCAGGAGTAATTCTTGAGAGCAGAGCCAGGAGAAACCCCTGAGCACTGCTGGGTGTGGCCCCCCAAAACAAAAAGTTTTGGGTAATTTACCTATTAGTTGACTATCAGGTATTGAGTCTAGGATTAGTAAAGGTAAGGTAAGGTAAAGGCCCTCCCGTTGATCGTCGATTTGCTCGAGCGGGCCCAGTAACGTCTCCATTGGAGACTTTGTTGTTACTGTGTCTGGCATATCCAGTACTCTCGGTAGCTTGCCGGGGTCTCCGAGAGGGGCGGAGGAATCGAACTCGGGTCGGCCATGTTGGCCGCTTGTAAGGCGAACGCCCTACCCGCTGTGCTATCGCTCCAGCCCAGGATTAGTATATATATATATTAAGCTTATCGTTTCCCCCCCTTTTTTCTTCTTAATCTTTAAAAATTGCCCCTTGATTCCCTCCACCTTCATGTGGTAACAGATTCATCAGGGTGGCTTAATTAAAATTCACCTTGGATCCTATCATAGACATACTGGATCTCAGTTTCAGGTATGGGTTCCCAGAAATTAACCTGTTTAATAATCATCAAGTGTTTGTTTTGTAACTTGATGTTGAAAATTGATCTGAGGGGAGAAGTCAGTCCTTTATATAATTGATTTTTCTGTACCTTTTCTGAGTATTGGAAGTAGTTTCTGATTGTCTTTAAGCTGTGTCATATAGAGACTAAATTGGGACTATTTTTCTCACTTCAGAATTGCTCTGATGCGTTTGTTTTCTCACTGCACCATTTCCCCTCTCTACCACTCTCACCATAGAAAGGCACAGGAAAGCCAAAAGGAGATGAAACTATTACTAGATATGTACAGGTCAGCCCCAAAGGAACAGAGAGACAAAGTTCAGCTAATGGCAGCTGAGAAGAAGTCTAAGGCAGAGGTAATTGAGTTTGCTTTCATTTTGGTTAAATTCTTTATTTGTGGGATTTTCTTTACACTCCTGAAAGATTAGTTCATTTATGTATTAAGTTGGTGTTGAAAATTTAGGAATTTTTCTTTCCTTTCAAACACCCTTCTAAAATAAAGATTTCTAGATTCTCCACTGTATGGTAGGTGTATCAGAATTATTGAGAGTAGGAGTAGTCTTCAAACTTTTCATTTTCCATTTAAATAATTTTTTAAATGTTTTGCTTTCTCATTTTTTTGGAGGAATGTCTATTCTGTTAAATATGAAGGCTCGAAGAAAGAGTAAGAACTAGTGTTCAAAAGTCTATGCAGGGTACTGGTGGAGGGATGGGTACTCGATCATTGTATAACTGAAACCCAAGCACAAAAATTTGTAAGTCTCCAACTGTACCTCATGGTGTTTCATTAATAAAATTTTTTTAAAAATTGTGCAATCCTCAAAAATGTTACTGGTAGAAGTATGTAATGCAGTGGAATGACACTAAAACAGTGTTTTGATGTGTTGAGCTAGATGATATCCTTTTATAATTCTGCAATTTTTGTGTAGGTCCTTGATAGTATTATTTAGTTTTTGACATCTCATTATAACTTTTTCTTTTTTTGTGACTTCTTTTCGTCTATAGTTGGAAGATCTAAGACAAAGACTCAAGGAACTAGAGGATAAAGAGAAAAAAGAAAACAAGAAAATGGCTGATGAGGATGCCTTAAGGAAGATCCGGGCAGTCGAGGAGCAGATAGAATACCTGCAGAAGAAGCTGGCCATGGCCAAGCAGGTGGGTCACTTTATTTAGTTGACTTTTAGAGCTGGGCCAAAACTCTCTTACTTCTAATGCCAAGTCTCAGCAGGTTTTGTAAGAGTTGGAGTGAAGGATGGAGAAGGGGCGACGTCTCTGGAGGCAGTCTGAAAGTCTTCATTTAGGATTGTCTAGCTTCTGGGTGAGGCCAAGTCAGGGCATATACCTCTCTGCTCAGGGCCAGTGTACCAAGCCTTACTGATCCAGGGAAGAGGAGAAGAATCAGATGGGGAGAAATGGTAAGGGAATGTGAAGGAATCAAGGAGGAAGAGAGAACATGGAAATGTTACTTGATGGGTTATCATCTCAGTCTTTTTAGAAATTTTTCTCCTCTAGATTAGTTTGTTATTTTTGAAGATAAAAATATTTCATCTTTAATGTATTTGAGAAGCATAAAGTTTACTTTTAAATAAATTTGTTCAGACATTGAGGTGTGTTCCTCCTCTGCTGATAGGGAATCAGGATATTTTATTATTAGTTTATTCAGTTTTTTTAAATGATAGAAAAGTTTATATGAAATATGGTTACAAAGGACAGGCAGGTATTACGGATGCTTTTCCCGGCTTCTGCCGCATCTACCTGCACTGCTGCTTTTCTCTTGAGTTCTTTTATCGCATCTCTGCACTGCTTTGCGAGCTCCGACATTCACTTGCGGTTGCCTGAGGCATGTGCCAAATCACATTGGCGAATAAGCTCATGAGTTTTCGAAGACAGGCATTTTTTTGTGGCTCTCTCTCTCTTGGCGTTCTTTGCACAATCATGGAGGTGCTGAACCAGTCGATCATATTCCTCGTCAATGTTGTCAACGACAGCATCTTCCCATGTTGCAGAAATAGTGCCAAAGAGTTCCCAGTTCATAACGCCTGCCTGTCCTTCACCAACCTCAAGACCAAGATGACTGCCCTCCAACGTACTGATGGATCCTTCACATCTTCCAGAAGGGCAATGGAGAAGATTATCCATGACTTCTACTCAGATCTCTTCGATAACCACGTTCACCTGCCCACAAACCAAGTTCCGCAGAATGAATATGTCATTCCCAGTGTTCTCCCTTCCAAAATCTAACCCGCCATTTTGTCGGTAAAGAAACGAACAGCAGCATCTGGCCCAGACAAGGTCAGACCTAAACACCTGAAGGACCTGCCGTCAGTACTCATCACTGGCTGGGCTCTTCACATGCTGCCTGTCTGAATGCAAGATTCCGTCTCAGTGGAAAACCAGCAGGACTGTACTACTGCACAAGAAGGGAGACATCCACGACATTGGCAACTATCACCCAATCTGCCTATTATCTATTATCTATAAGCTGTTCACTCAAGTCATCCTGAATAGGATTGGCTGAACACTAGATGAAGGACAACCATGCAGGCAAGCTGGGTTCTGCAAAGGATTCAGCACGGTCGACCATATCCACACAATAACCAAGCTCATTGAGGTTTCTTGGGAGTTCAAGATTCCACTCTGTCTAATGTTCATTGATTTAAAGAAGGCCTTTGATTCTGTTGAGACGGAAGCGGTCATTGAAGCCCTAGCCAATCAGGGCATTCAAACTCAATACATCAGGATCCTCTGTGAGCAGTATTACAGATTCACTACCAGGATCTCACCATTCTACAAAGAAGTGATCATCCATGTCAAGAGAGGGGTTCGGCAGGGTGATACCATTTCACTGAAACTCTTCAGTGCCACCCTCGAGAACGTCATGTGACGACTGGAATGAGAAGGAATGGGAGTGAAGATAGACAGTTGGCAACTGCACCACCTCTGGTTTGCTGATGACATCGTTCTAATAACACCAAACATTAGCCAAGCAGCACAAATGCTGGCCGACTTCGACCATGAATGTGAAAAGGTTGGACTCCAGCTGAATCTCACGAAGACAATGCTCATGATAAACAGCCTCGTTCCTGATATTCCATTTGTTCTCAATGGAATGAACATCTCCGAATGCAACAGTTATGTGTACCTAGGTCGAGAAGTCAACATGACAAATCACCTGTCACTTGAGTTGCGAAGGAGGAAGAGAGTGGCTTGGAACGCCTTCAAGAGCGTCGAAGAAATAGCTAAGAGGACGAAAAATCTCTGGCTCCAGGCACATCTCTTTGATTCTACTGTTCTTCCTGCATTAACGTACTCCTCAGAGACCTGGGTCGTACGAAAATGGGATGAGAACGCTGTTTGGGTCTCCCAAAGAGGAATCGAAAGAGCTATGCTTGGAGTGTCACTCTTTAGACAAGCGAGAGAAGGAATCTGGAGTTCCGACCTCCGTCGACGATCAAGAATCAGGGAGGCCATCTTATTTGCCAAGGCGTCGAAAATCAGATGGGCTGGACACGTAATGAAATTTGGAGATGACCGCTGGACTAGAACCTTTGCCGTTGGATTCTATGGGTCATCAAAAGACCACATGACTGCCCACCTACAAGATGGTCAGACTTCTTTGTCAAGACCCTGAACGATTGGTTTGAGGCTCTTTGTGTTCCTGGAACGAACAGACGCCATTGGGCTACACTAGTTCGCGACAGGGACGAATGGAGACGTTACTGGCGCCTGCTTGAGCAAATTGATGATTAATGGAAAGTTAAGTGATCAAGTGATGGTTACAAATATATGAAACTAAAAGAACATTTTCTGCTAGTTGAAAGCACTAAATATTTTTTTCCTGGATTATTAGAACTGCAGAGACTTTCTTCTCTTAATAAGCACATATTTATTTTTAAATACCAGTGAATTTTATTAACATGGCATAATAAATTTACCAGAAATGGCAAGCTACCCATGACGTATTGGATATGCCAAACACAGTAACAAGAAGTCTCACAATGGAGACATTACTGGGCCTGCTTGAGCAAAATCGATGAACGACAGGAGGACAGGGCTACAGAGCAGATAGGGAGGAGAATATCTTCAGGAATACCCTCACTGTTCCTAAATGAAATGAAGTTGTTCTAATGGTGGATCGATCATTTGTACCTCGTAAAGAGGAATTTTTTTAGAACTTACGTACGTACTTACTTTGTAAAAAAGAAAAAATTAGGGGTTTTGGCTTTTCTTAAATCTGTGATTCTCTACTTTTCTTGTACCCCCTCTTATTTGTTTTAATTTGGTTTTAGGGCCACACCTGTGTGTTCTCAGGTCATACTCATGGCTCTGTGTTCAGGCATCATTCCTGGTAGGCTTAGAAGACCATATAGGGTGCCAGGGATTGAACTTGGGTAGCTGTGTGAAGGCAGTCGCTGTACCTGTTGTATTTTTCCTCCAGTTCCTGTTGTATAATCCCTTCCTCCTTTTTAAAAAACTAATTGCCAGAATCTATACTAGTACTGTTGCAGATTCCCGTATAACTTGGGGAGAAAAAAGACCCTACTAATCTTCAAAATGTTCATTTTTCCTATTTATGTTCAGGTTTGGGGCTGGAGCGATAGCACAGCAGGTAGGATGTTTGCCTTGCATGCGGCCAACCCGGGTTTGATTCCTCCATCCCTCTTGGAGAGCCCGGCAAGCTACTGAGAGTATCCCTCCCGCATGGCAATGCCTGGCAAGCTCCCTGTGGTGTATTCGATATGCCAAAACCAGTAACAAGTCTCACAGTGGAGACGTTACTGGTGCCCCCTGGAGCAAATTGATGAACAATTGGAGGACAGTGCTACAGTGTTACATGTTCAGATTTAAAATGATTGCAATAAAATTTTATGTATTCATTTAGTTTTGGTGCTGTACTTCATGGTGTAGAGGGCTTACTCCTGGTTCTGTGTGCAGGGATCACTCATGGCATGCTCAGGGGACCATATACTGTGCCTTGTATCAAACCAAGTCTGCTGTGTAAGGCAAGCATTCTAACCCGTGTACTATATCACTTTGACAACCCTCCCCCAGTAAAATGTAAAGTTTTTTTTTAACTTTGATATTAGATAAGTTATAAATTTACATTATAAAAGTTATTTAGAAAAAAACTGAGAAAGCCGTGAAGTGTAGTGGTGCAGTTTCTTTGTCAGATATTAAAATCAGTTTGAATAGGTTAAGCTAACATGAAACTAGAGACAGATTTAAGACTGAAAAGGAAGTCCAGAAATAGAACTAAGGTTTACACCAGTGAGTATTTAACATTTACTTAAGATGTTTTAAATTAGTGGAGAAATTGAAGATAAATCTAGGAAAAAAGTAAAATAATATTGGGAAAAAGTTGGATATTTATTGGACCTACCTACAAGATGGTCAGATTTCTTTGTCAAGACCCTGAATGATCGGTTTGAGGCTCTGCATGTTCCTAGAACGAACAGATGCCATTGGGCTACGCTAGCACGCAACAGGGATTAAAGAAGACATTACTAGCACCCACTCGAGTAAATCGATGAATAACAGGGGATCAAGTGATCAAGTGATTTATTGGACACTACTGTATGTAAATTTCATATGAATCAACGTAATTTTAAAGAGGTGAATCTATAAAGCTAGAAGAAAAGATGTTTCTTTATAAATTTGTTATTGAAAGACCAAACTATTAATATGAGTCTAGAAACATAAGAGAGATTGTGATAACTTTTACTTATGAAAACACAAAATTCCTACTTGGCAGCAAAACCAAAGGATAAGTGACAGAAAAAAAATATTTTTCTAGGTTTTATCATAGAAGGAATTATCTTAACATAATTTAAAATAAAAACCCTCTAAAAATGGGAAAGGAAACAAAACAAAACTATTGAATAGGCAAAAAAAAAATCACGTTTACAGAAGATAATACAAGTGATTGTATTATCTGTACTGTTAACTTCAGATTTTTGGACTACTGCTGGAAAATTGTCCAGCATTAGGAATGTAGAAAAGTATGAGGAAAATACAAGCTTTTTTTTCCCCTCTTAAGCAACTGCTACATGATCAGTTTGAGAGTTTATGGTAAGTATAGTTTTTAAGTACAGGTCAATCATCAGACCAGTGATGAGAAAATGGGTTCAGATATCGGGGCTTTTTCTGTCTCCTTAGGGCTAAAACAAGTAATAAAATAAAGATTTTTCAAAGTTTTTCTCTTTGTCCTCAATTTAGGAGGAAGAAGCTCTCCTCTCTGAGATGGATGTCACAGGCCAGGCTTTTGAGGACATGCAGGAACAAAATATCCGTTTGATGCAGCAGTTGCGGGAAAAGGATGATGCAAATTTCAAGCTTATGTCAGAACGTATTAAGTCCAATCAGATCCATAAGTTGCTTAAAGAAGAGAAGGAGGAACTAGCAGACCAGGTTTTGACTTTGAAGACGCAGGTAAATAGAATGAATAGAGCATTCTAGGATTCTCTTGAAATAAGGTGCTTTTTATATGATTATATGTGAATGTTCCTAGAACGAACAGATACCATTGGGCTACGCTAGCACACAACCGGGATGAATGGAGACGTTACTGGCACCCGCTCGAATAAATCGATGAATAACGGGGATTAAGTGATTAAGTGATTAAAGTTATATGTGAATGACATGTGACTATATGATTATTATGGCAACTTTTTATCTTTGTGATGGAAAAAAAGTCTAAAGACTAAATGAGCATGATTAAGCCTAGTACTGGGAATAATTACACATCCCTACAAAGGAGTACAATGTTAAAGCAATTGTAAATCTACTAATATGGAGACGTATCTAAAGATGATTCATTATCACTTTTCTGCTAAAACTGTATGTGTCTTTATGTCTCTGCTTGTGTATATTTAAACAATTCTGGAAGGCCACATCAGAAGCCTGTAATAATGCTTACCTGGATGAGAGGTTGTGAATTTCTGGCTTTACTTTTTACCCTTTAACATTGTTTGATTTCTCTTTGTTCAGGAATATCAAGGAAAAGATTAGTTTAGAACCTTTAGTCATTTGAAAGAGATATGCTTTGGACTTTTTAGGCTATAATTTACATATTCTAATATGAATTGCCAGCTTGAGGATTAATATGGCTGGAAAAGCTAGATACTCCTAAATGTAATTTTCTTTATTCTTGACATTTATATAGAGTATCTAATGGTTTCTCAGACTCTTCTTTGAATTTCAGCATTATTTTTTATTGAAATAGAGCCTTGCATTTATTTTAACCTTGTTCTTGGTTAAATTCATAATAGTTTGAGATTTTTAACAGATTCATTTTGTGGGCAAATATATTAAAAGAGCCGAATCATTTTTTCTTTTTTGTATTAATATGTGCTTTTCTTCTTCAAAGGTTGATGCCCAGTTACAGGTAGTAAGGAAGTTGGAAGAGAAGGAGCATCTATTACAAAGCAACATTGGCACAGGGGAAAAAGAACTGGGTCTTAGGACCCAAGCCTTAGAGATGAATAAACGCAAGGTATTAATTGACCCTTCTGTCATCTAGAGTCAAGTCTTCAGAGCACCAAATAAGTATTCCACTGATGAAATGATAGCTTCACTGTCTTGTTTTTGGTTCACATTTTGTCACTAGTTGTAATAGTAATGCTCTATCTGTCCATCCTTCATAGGCTCTGGAAGCAGCCCAACTTGCAGATGACCTTAAAACACAGTTGGAGTTAGCGCAGAAGAAACTGCATGATTTTCAGGAGGAGATTGTGGAGAACAGTGTCACCAAAGAAAAGGACATGTTCAATTTCAAACGAGCCCAGGTAAGATCGGTTGTTTTTTCCTTTACATGTAAAGATTTTTTCAGAGCTCTGAAAATTCATTTTATGTCAGTTTCTTGAGTAAAGAGACTGGGTCTGTTTCCTCTGCTGTCATTCCCATAGCCTGTCATAGTGCCCAGCACATAGTGGGCATGTAATAAGTACTTAATATTTTTCCCCCAAATTTTATTTTTACAAAGTTATTCACAATAATTTATTACATTCAATATTCCAACACCTTCCCAGCACTGTTATTTCGAATTTTCCCACCACTTCTCAAGCCTGCCCCCAAAGCAGGTCCTAAATAATTTATTTTGTGTGACTTGTTATGAATAATTCATTAAAATTGATTCAAAAAAATTTCCTTAGAGGAAAATGTGGGCTGGAGCTATAGCACAGTGGGTAGGGCATTTGCCTTGCACGCAGCCAACATGGCTGACCCGAGTTCGATTCCTTCGCCCCTTTCGGAAAGCCCGGCAAGCTACCAAGAGTATCTCGCCCACACTGCAAAGCCTGGCAAGCTCTCCTTGACGTATTCAATTTGCCAAACACAGTAACAATTCTCACAATGTTATTGGGCCTGCTCGAGCAAATCGATGAACAATGGGAGGACAGTGACAGTGACAGAAGAAAATGTGTGAAGATTGTTGTATCTCACCCTAGAGCCATTAAGTCCTTGTATAAGAGATTGCTAACATGTTGTTACATGTTGAGCCTTGTGTGCTAATATTTATTTTTGAATGAGGATCGATTGCCTTCTACCTTACCCCCATCAAATGTGGTGTGCTACTCTTGGCATATCAGTGGAGTAGAGTCACGTTTCAGAGTGATACAGCTGGAGATGACTTTGGTAGCTGGAAGCATCTCTGCAGCTTGTGACTCTCTTCCGACATTTATTTGTGAGTCTCTGGCTCATTGATGACGCCAGGGGCAGTTTGTGAAATAAGAATTACTTAAAAGAGGGAATGAATGGTTTATATAGAAGTGTATTTTCTCAGAAAATGCCTGCTCTATCCGGTAACAGCTCTAATGACTATGCTATTCTGTCAACAGGAGGACATCTCCAGACTTCGAAGGAAGCTGGAGACAACAAAAAAACCAGACAATGTACCCAAATGTGATGAAATTCTAATGGAGGAGATTAAGGATTACAAGGTTGGAGAAACTGTCTCTTATTTCTTTCATTTTTTAAAATTTGTGTTTGTCAAGGCTCAATAATGTACCGGTAAATTACCAATTTCTTTACATAATGGTAACCAGAGAAGGGGAGCCTGCATTGGTACTGGTTTTTGCTGGGTTTTCTTCCTGATATGGTCTTGTGTGGGGGCCATTGTGGACCATGAACCTCTATGATTGCTCACAGACTGAGTTCTCTCTCTCTCTCTCTCTCTTTTTTTTTAAGGCACGTCTGACCTGTCCATGTTGTAACATGCGTAAAAAGGATGCTGTACTTACCAAGTGTTTTCATGTTTTCTGCTTTGAGTGTGTGAAGACACGCTACGATACTCGCCAACGCAAATGTCCCAAGTGTAATGCAGCTTTTGGTGCCAATGATTTCCATCGCATCTACATTGGTTGATACAAACCAAAAGAAAGGGGGCTGGCTAGACAGACATTTGTTCATTAACTACCAAACCTCTACCTCTCTTTTCTTGACTGTCACCTACAGGGCAGTTTTTCTGTCAACTGCCTTTCACAGACTTTAAGTCCAGGTTCTCCTCTCTAATTGTCATGTAAATTATGGGAGGTGTACTGTTAATTGCTAACCTTAGGTTTTAGGATGAAATTAGAAGTGAACAACTCTTACTGTTTCCCCTGCCAGCTTCGTTTAACTTCCTACTTTCGCATTCAACATTTTGTTCCTCAGGCTCACTGCATAATAGTGAATTGTCCGTTCCTCCTGAAGAAGTCAAGGTGGTATTTTTGATACGGAGAAGGGAACAAAGAGTGGAGATACATAGCTACTTAGGGGGGGTGAGTGATATTTTAGGACTAAGCTATCTGTATGGGCACAAAATTTTCTTGATTTGGGCAGTAAACTTTTGTAAACCTGGGTTTATAAAAATGATACAGTTTTGTTACTCTTTCCTGGATGGTTTTGAAGCCTTAATGAAATTATGTCCAGGATGAGTAATTTCATTTCCTATTCAATAGCAGAGTAACTTGTTAAGGTCAGATGGCTTCATTGTCAAATAACTTAAGTTTTGACAATTCTGTTCATCAAAATATTAAAATTTTTAAGGCCAGAATAATTTCAAGTCATAAAGTCCCTTTTACCTTACAATCAAATGAGGATTGGAGAGGATAGGAACAGGACTGAGTCAGTAAAGTGATTGTCCAGAATCTGAGAACTTAATACAGGGAGGACTTGGTGCACTATGAATTATTCTTAGAATTCTCTCTGCAGAGATTGCTGTGATCTGTTGTTGTCTGTTACAGAAGATTCTCTGTAATGTTTCTGTAAGACTTGATACAACATAAACGTCAAATAAAGCAGAATTCAGTTTGCTTTTGTGTTTTTTCTTTAAAACTTTTGTCTGTCGTTACTAATTTTACATCTGCTGTTTTTGAATTTTTGTGACTTAAATATCAACTTAGATAACTGTGTTTAAAGTATTCCTTTGACTAAAGCACTTTTCTTGAGTTTATTGAGACTTTGCAGGGACAGATGATAGTATATTTGGCCGCTTCATTCTCTTCACATAGTTCACTATGGAGGTGTAAGATTATGGTTTCCGTTACCAATTATATAATGCTCCCTGGCACTTCAGATGGAGAGAGCTCCTGAAAGATAACTTTTAGCGTAGTCAGCAAACCATGATGGAAATTAAGCAGTAGAGGTTAAAAAATGTGTCTAACTGTGGGGGTCTTAGAAGGGTCTCAAAATAGTCATGAGTTCCTTTATCTTCCTTCCATACACCTACTCCACATACACAGTCAATGCTGCTCTTGGATACAGTGCAGTTGCATTTAGTATATAGGACACTTTCCCATCACTGCTCTTACAGGGACAATTTGTGCATAACTATTGGTCTGGGGACAAATGGAGTACTTGAGCAGGAGGTAGTTTGGGTTTGAATATTGTCTGTGACAATTTAAGCTAGAAAGCAGACTGTCCCAGTGGCAGAAACGGGCTTGTGGAATGTGAAAGAAACCACTATAACCTTGGGAAATGGGATTTAGGGGAAGTCCCTCCAGTTGGGAAGGGTACAGAGTCTCTTGTCTGACCAATTTGAGGTCCAGACAACACAAGGTGAGATCTCAAGTTATTTTTAGATTATTAACTGTAAAAGGGGTTATTTAGGGGCAATTTGGCAGCTCTCACGAGTTCAAATAGATGGGCATACCAAAATTCACTTGTGTTGCAGATAGTTTCTCATAGCTCTTCTCCCCCAGATCCTTAAAGGAGCTTTTAAACATCCTAACCCGCACTCCCCCTAGTGCCCCCAAGTTAAAAACATGCTCTAGGACTGGCAATACACATGCTTGTCATGTAAGAAGCCTAGGTTTGATTCCTAGCACTGCGTGGAATGGTCTAAGTAACATAGTAACCCACTAATCAATATTATGGTGCTAAAGCTAAAAAAGAATCTGCCCTAGATCCATGAAAACTTTAAGGGGAATTTCTTGAAATGATTGGGAGATGACTCAAAAGTAGCCCCCAAGAACTAGGTATGCTTCCCAAGTAAAGACAAAATTTTACTTCTTACGGTTTTTCTTAAGGACTTAACTGTAGATAAATTCAGGCATCTGTGGGGTTAGTGGAAAATTTTGACTAGTTCCCATCAGAAAAGCCTATGTTGTGATAGCTACATGGGGAAAAATTTTTAAGTAGATTTGAGGACTGTGTATGTTGGATTGTATTTCTACAAGAAGAAGCTCCTGGTGTGGTAATTACTTAATTTCCTAGCTCTGTAATTGTCCCACCACAAGAATTGAGTTTTACTTTCTGGGAACTTCTGCCCAAGTATGGTTTGTTTCTAACAGACATTAAAGTCTTATTTTAAGAAAATAATAATTACTAAAGTTATGATGAGATAGCACAGCTGTATGGCATTTGCCTGTGCGCAGCCGACCTGTCGAGCTGGGTTTGATTCCTCTGCCCCTCTCGGAAAGCCCGGCAAGCTACTGAGAGTATCTTGCCTGCACGCCAAAGCCTGGCAAGCTACCCCTGACGCATTCAATATGCCAAACACAGTAACAAGTCTCACGATGGAGATGTTACTGGGCCCGCTTGAGCAAATTGATGAACAACAGGAGGACAGTGACAGTGAAATTTATGATGTAGAAAGCACAGTGTTTTAATCTAATCCAATATTTATCAGGGGCCTTGGCATACCACTTAATAAAGGTCTGTGTAATCAAGTCAGTTCCATGCTTCTAACAAAAGCAAAAATCAAATGCATCTTAAATTTCTCTTGTAATACATGGAATTCTGAGGAATTCTGAGTTGACTATCTGTTTAGAGGCAATAGGATAGCTAAGATTTTTCTAACTATGTTTAGACTGTGAGTGAAGTTGTAGACAGGTGGAACCAACAAAGTCATATTAATAAACTAACAATATACTCTTGAGTAGTTCAAGTTACTAAGATCTTGGAGAAGAATGATGGGAAAGACTGGATGTAAGATTGAATAGTACATATTTTTCAATGAAGAAACAACTCATGGCCACAAACTCAGCTGTACACTTTGAAATGTGATTATCAGACTTCTGCTTTGTCTTCTTTTATCTCAAGTGGAAGCTTGACCCAATAGGATGTTATCAGGAATATCATAAAAATATCTTTTTCCCCAAAGAATTAGGTAAACTCTATATCCTCAGCAGTATCATTTAAATAGGAAATCTGCCAGAACCTAGAGCTTTTTTTCTTCCCCTATCTGTTAAGAGATCGTATAGTACTTTGTTCTAGAGTAGAATTTGGGAAAACAACTCAGTTCTTTTATATATTTTTCTCTATTTTGATTCCAAGTGCTGTGTAACAAATATTATATATGACATCAAACTTAGATATATGTGTTTCTGCCATTTATTCATCCCTTCATCAGTTTCTTCATCTCTAAAAATAACTACATATTGGGTTGAATTATGGATGAAATGAGTCAATATATAAAATACATCTAGTGCCTGGAACATATTAAATCTCCCCAACATTAATTTTCATCATTGCTATTATAGAAATAGATTATCCCCCCCTCCAATCTTTCTTCTGAAAAAAAAAAAAAACACTACATTTTCTTTCCATTTTGAGAAGAGTTGTGTCCTTTCAGAAATCTAGGCCATGTGTATTCATATCTGTATCTCAGTTAAATGGTATCATGACAGTCATCTCCAAACATCAAAAAGTTAACTATATTTGCTTATTGTCCCACAAGCAAACAGTATGTGTGAATGAACGCTTCTAGTGAGGATCCTGACCTATTAAGTCAATCTCTCTTTAATTTTTTTTAAATGTTTCTGGTCTTTGGGATACAAATCCAACTTAACTGAGTAGTTTTTGCCCCTTCCTAGTCCTGGTAACTTGTCATCTTTCTTTATGTTCTTATAGTGAGCTACTTGAAGTTCCTAAATTCCTTGATTGCTATCATTTTTCAAGTTTGGAGTTTTGCCCAGGCAAACATGCCCATTACTCTCTTTAATTATGCACACAAACATGTCTCCTTTGTTGTCATAGTACCTGGGTGCATTTCTGTATCAAAGTAAACACTGCATTTGATTTGCCATATACTCCCCAACACACTGCACCTCAGAAATTGGTGTGAAGAATGTGTCCGACTAGCAGATTCATAAATGTTTGCAAGCAGCTAAAAAATGCCTGAGTTGTAAGATGCCGGATACTTTGAGAAAACAGAATGATTTGCAATTACATTCCTTTTAGCTCTTCGTTGGGCCAGGAAATAAAAGAAGATTGTGAAATGCTTTCTGTGAGATTCCAGGGCCAGTGTGTGTCTAAGGCAGGTGCAGTTATCACATTGCTTTCCATTTTTTGTTTTGTGGATCTGGGGCCGGGGGAGTCAGGCTGAGGCATAGGTAGAAGACAAGGTAACAGATGACTCCGATGGAAAGACTAGAGGGGGCCTTGAGAAAGAAGAGGAAGTTGTAAGACAATAATCATAATCCTGAAAATGTAGTTTGGTTGTTCTGAGTTTGGTTGTACATCTCTGCTACTATGACTGTGGACAACTTACATAGTTTCTCTGATGCTTGTTTTTTGTTCACCTGTAAATTAAGAGCCAAGTTTATCTCTCCGGACAAGTCTATAATGAATTTCAGGATTGTTATAAGGAATAAATAAAATCATGTTTTATAAAAAGTGTTTGACAAATGTTATCTATTGCTTGTTGAAGGGTTATGAAATGACTGATTTACAAGGTCCTTCTAGTTAGAGGCTATGTTCATCTTACTATTCTGTCTCCAACAGATGGCATATAAATACAAGCTGTTTCTCAAATGTTTTTCAGTTACTGAATAAGGGCAGTTTTCAGAAATCTCAGCACTCAGGTTGTCTCTCAGATGCAGTCATTTTCATTACACTTCGGATGGCAGTGCTGAGTTTTCTCAGCATAGCTTGTACCACTCTGAGTTATGCCAAGGAAACAAGCATAAATCATAGCACCAGAGAAGCCTGTGAGGAAAGAATTAGTTCCGCATCAACATTTAAATCCCAAAGACGATGCCGTCAGCATATCTGAAAGTGAAGTTTCTATCTGAACATTTATTCCACAGTCATAGAAACGGAAGATGGAAAAGACCTGAGGACATCTAGTCCATCCACGTGGTTGTACAAGAAAAGTGACTGGAGCAGAACAGCCTGTTCACATCATGCTCACAAGACAGCATTTCCGTTCTTCCTGGAGCGGAGCGATTGCAAACACATCAAAATGAAGACACAATGCAAACACTTTACAAACCTTAAGAAAATACTGAGAAGCATGTCATTTTTCATAAAACGATTAGTAACTAAACTAAAATGGGAATCCTGGGTTAGCCGAAAGGTGTGGGTGGGTAAAGAAAGGAATAACTAAAACAGTGCTGAGAGCGAAGTGGTTTTGATAACTACAGGGCCACTGCATCTAGTTGGCTTTTCTGGTTTGCTAATGAAAATAGGAGCTGGAAGAAAGAGAGGCTCTAGTGTGGTTACATTGCTCTTCATCCTCTATCCTAGCCCAAAGAGGTGCTTACTAGCTCCAAGGCTCTAATCAGCCTCAGCACCAACACTGATAAGTCTAGTGCCTCTAGTGCTCCATTTCTGCTTGGCACCTTCTCTGGTTTGGCCCAGAAGCAGCAGCTCCAGCATAGGACTTGCGCAGCAGCAAGATCCGTGAATAATGGAGAGTCACCTCCAGGCACGTTGAAAACCTCAACTCAGTGGCTGGCTGCCTTCGTAGTCTGTCCCAGTTATTCTTCTAACTTGTTGCTTTAAATTGTTGGAGGGATTCCTTTGCTCATCTATTCTGAGATATTCACACTCCGGGGCCCTTATGGCTAGTATTTACATGAACCAAGCAGCCCTCTCTGTTTGAATTCACCCAGTCATTCTGAACTGGGTGCTCCTTGTGCCAGGGATTCTCTCCTGATACAGGGTTGGGATGTGTGACAGAGAGTTACATTCCAGACTTGCCAGCTCCAGGGCTGGGAAATACATGGAGATCTTCGGACCTTATAATGGAGGACCTAAGGAAGCATCTCTTACCTCTTTCTTCTTTACCAAAAAGACCACCCTCCACCCAAAGATGCCACAACTTTGTGTGTTTGGAGTCTAAAGGGAGTTGAGAGAACAGAGAACAGAACGAAGGACCCACCATTCCATAAAACCTTTTTACGAAACACAACACACTGTTTCACAAATTGCAAAACACTGTTCAGTTACTACCGATAAAAATAACCATTGCTACTTAACATGGAGACTGCTTCATTTCACTACAAGCAAGTGTGGTTGTTTTTTTCTTTATCCAGAACATGGAGGCATTTCAAGCAATGTAGGTGGTGGTGAGCCTGCTTTCAGCCCCTGCTGTATCTTGTTGCTTTCCTGGCCACAGTTTTGGCCCAGTCATTCCTCAGAAGGTACCCAAGGAGCCATGCACTCGGCATCTTTGTGTATAGACAGGGCCATCTGGTGTGTCACCTGCTCAGAATGCCTCAGTGGAGAAGCTTAAGGTAAAGGCGATATACAAAATCCAGACTTACAAAACAGCTACATTAAGGATAATTAATTGCATTACAAAAGGATTCTTTACTTTACAAAAGAATTCACCTCTGGGTTCCTTTACATAGCCAGCTCCTCAAGTTCATTCAGACTGAGCTGAGTTATAAAACTGTCCACGTACAACATCAGGAGCGTGGCTGTTATGTGAGTTGAGGTACACCTGTACATCAGCCTTTGGGCTATGTAGAGGTTTGGGGTGTGCAGAGCATGACAGCAGAGTTTACTGCATCTGTAGTTGTTGCAGATGGGTAAGGAGAACTAAGGGGCATGGACTTCCAAAGGCAGTTACAAATCTACTTCTGGGCCTGGGATGAGAGCAAGGGAAGGGTTCGGTCTTTCAAAGTAGAATTATCCTTCTGTTTCTGGAGCTCACCTGTACCCTCGGGAGTAGCCATTTTATTTGCACTAAGACTAATGAAGTATAACTTTGGAACCCTCCCACCTTCCTCATAAGTACCTCTGCACCTACATTCCCCCTACCCCCACCATTTTTCTCAGACAATTAGCTAATTGCTAGAGTGTTTTCTAATTATAACTCAAGGTGCTGTATTTCCCTAGGGGAGAAGATAGTTCCTGGTAGAAAAGCAGGGGTGTCATCTAAAAGCAGAAGGAGAGATTTTGTGATCGAGGAGGCTTTGTAATGCTTTGCAGCTCTTTCAGGCTCCAGTACTTGGCACAGTTCTGTGAATGCATGGTAGGCATTCAAATTGGGGTGGAGCAATGAATCATGAAACAATAAAGCCAGTGATAGATAAACTGGGAAATCTAGACTCACTGGTGTCCTGGGACGGGCAATGAAGAGTGTGTGTGGGGAGAAGGGAAAACAAATCAGCAGGTATGTGCTGAAGTTTAGAAAGCTCTCAAAATGCTTGTTCTCACTTTTCTATGTGCCAGGAGCAGCTGAACTTCTTGCGCAGCTTTTTGTATTATGCATCAGCCACCTGGGGGTGTTGGGTCACAGTAAGTTTCTGAGCTTATTTTTAGGCTGCCCTTAGACTCTGGGGAAGAGTCTTGGCAATCAGCATTCTAATGAGGCCCTAAATGATTCCGATTAACACTAACATTGGAAATGGAAGTTCTTTAGCTCCCATATTCCTTTCCCCTTCTGTTGCATGCCGAAGCAGTTGCCCAGGGTGAACAGGACGCCCAGGCACAGGGGATATCAGTCTCCCTTTGCTAATCTTGAGGGGCATGAGTTAGGACAGGGCTGCAGGGAGCAAACCTGCTGTTGGCTCTTCAGAAATGGGTGGTAGGGAGATATGACGCTGGGAGATTGCCTTGCTAGTTATTGATGCAAACATGGAAACGCAGGGCATGTTGTTGAGTGAAGACACCTGAGGGTCATTCAGTGGGATGTTTACAGCCCAGAGACAGGTGTCTGCTGATCTAAAAATGGCCTACTACGTGGCCAGAGACCTTGTCGTCAACTCTAGTGCTGGCTCCTCTCTCTTCTCCAGGTAACAGACAGAGAGATTCTGGTTTCCTCCTAAGGCCTCATCCTTATTTGGCTTCTCTCTCACGTTTTCCTTTATAAAAGGCACACACCACAGTGGAGACACTCAGTTAGATGAGTATGGTCCTATTCACTCTTTAGACAAAATGCTGAACAACTTCTTCAGAGATTGTGTACTAAAAGTGCAGTATCCACCACTAACACCCCTCTGATGGTCCTCTGTTCCTGTGCACCATATCCCCGTCCCCTACAGAGTGGCTTGAAAACATGTTCCTGTTACTTGTGAATCAAGATGGGCGCGGAGGTCAAGGATCTTGTCAACCCCTGGCCTGGTTTCTCGGCTCACTGGCCTGCTGAGATACCCATGAGTTTCATTAGTTTTCTGAGTATCCACAACTTTTTACTAAGTTTCTCTAGCCCTTACCTTTTTCTTGCTGCATCCAGAATGTAGGAACAAATCAAAGAGGGGGGGGAGTTGTATCAAAAGTCACAACCCTGGATAATCTCGTTCTATGCTAAGATTAAAATCGACCACCCAGAAACACCCGGGTAGGAGTCACAATTTTATCTCTTGTAGTTGATAGTGCAGAGAAAGGGCTAAAAACCAGAAATTTTACTGTGGCACCTGGTGAAAAGGTTAACAGGAGCTGGGCTTGTCTGATTCGTCAGAGATTCCTTACACGGAGCTGACCGCCTCCCTCCTAAGGAGCATGTCTACCCTGAAGACCTAGGGAGCGAGCTGGGGAAGAGCCACGGCTGCTTTTCAGGCGGAGGAGGGCAGCTGGACCTCTAAGGAAACCTTGTTTCCGCCTCCCCACAACCCTGGTGGTTATAAAAGGGCATTACAAAGTGTCAAGGGCTCAGAGGAATGCCGGGGGACCCGCCTGGGGCGGCCTGGGGAGCAGCAAGATCACCTAGGATTCACAAGTCCAATTTGTCCTTTGATACTCCTCCAGCTCCGATTTCCTGCTCACAGCCAGCTGCAGCTCCTGCCGGATCACCTGGATCTGTTTCTCGAGCTCTGAGAGTTCCTGCATCACGGAGTTCCGTGCCCCGCTCAGGGAGTCTGCTTTCCCGTTGGTGGTCAGTGAGGCAGGGAGCTCTCTCTTCCGGGGCGGCAGAGGGATGTCCTGGGGGGGCTGGATGCCCAGCTGCTTCTGTCCTCCCTCTTCACTGAAGATGTACTTGCGAGGGTGGTCCTGACTCAAGTTGGAAGTATTCCACACGGTGAGCTGCTGGGGTCCCAGGTTAGATCTGGGAAGCAAAGAGACACTTGATTTTTATTTTTTACTTTTTTTTTTGGTTTTAATTCTTATTCTTTGGGTTTGAGAGGTCACACCTGGCTGTGTTCAGAGCTTACTCCTGGGATCACTCTTAGTAGTACTCAAGGGACGATTTGCAGTGCTAGTGATGGGTCCCCAGTGGGTCACGTGCAAAGTGCATACCTTACCCACTGTAACTACCTTTCCAGTCTCTCAAAGAGACACTTGAGATTTATTTTTCCTGCACTTCCAGTGTTCTTGGCGAGTCATTGCCTGGGCAAATAGAAAGGAGATGGGTGCTTTTCCAGATGAAGTAACCAAGTTAGAGAAATTTGCAGCTGCAGTGTTACAGAGACCAAAGGAGCTGACATTATTCTCTTCTTCTGGAGTGCATGGCTCATCCTTCTGATATTAACCTAAAACTGGGGTGGCTGTATGTATCATCTATATCATCTGCTGGGCTTCTGGATTTGAGTATAATATGTTCATCTCTGAAGAACCTTACATGCCTTTTTATTCCCTTCTGGTGGGTGAGGCCAGGGACAAGCTGTCTTGAAATGCTCTGTGGCTCTAAAGAAGCTGCTTCAGTCAAAGAAAAAGCATGTTTACTCAGTTGTTAGAGCAAGTGTGCAAGAGAATACTAATAGATATTACAAGTATCACTCCTTCCTAGTCTCACAAAACCACCCTGATGTTTTCCAATTGAGCTCAAGAATAAAAGATGCACAGAAGATGCAGGTTCCAGGAAAAAAAAGTTTCCCATTATTGGGATCTCTTTATGTGGTTTAGAATGACAGCTGAAGTCTCTAGCTTAAAAATGAAAACAAACTATGGAAGAAAACCTCAAGTTCTTGCTGAGATAATAAAAATCCAGTAGAAATCAATTCTCAATCCTCTTTAAGGCTACATCCCTCTCTCCTTCCCTCCACTACCATGGCAGAGAGATGGCAGCAGACAGCAAGAGAACTCTCCTACATAACCATGTGGGAGGCAGGGGAGGGGACAGGGGTCTTATTTCTACAACCAAGACTTTACTCCTGGACTCTCAGCTGCTAGGAGAAGGGGAAGAACCTGCAGGGAAAAGAGGAAGAGGAGGCATGATGAAGGCTTGACTCATATAATAAGACAAAAACAGAATGCGGCTAATAGAGTGATTCAGTTTGTTTGTCCTGGGGTAGGTTACAAAAGTGGCTGCAATACTTTATTCCTCCCTTGTCTACCCATGTCTTTCTGTAAAGTGATTTTGCAACCAGAAACTGTGTTCAAGGGGATGCAGTGAAAAAAGAACTTTCATTCACTATTGGTGAAAATGTAAACTGGTTCAGTTCCTACAGAAAGTGGCATAGAGATATAGCAAAAATTAAAAATAGAAGACCTTTGTGACCCACTGATTCTGATCCTTAGTATCTATCCCAAGAACACAAAATCATTAATTATAAAAGATGTATACACAGTCATGTTCATTTCAATGCTATTTACAATAGCTAAGATATGGACACAACTAAGAGCCCAGTGACTGATGGATAAAAAATTGTGGTGTGTGTACACAATGGAATGTACTCAGTGATAAATAAAGAAGATATAGCATCTTTTGTTCCAACTTGGGTGGAGCTAGAGAGATCATGTTAAGCTAAAGTAGTCAGAGAGAGAAGAACAAATGCTGGATGATCTCATTAATAAGTGGGATATAAAAAAATCAAATCAAAGGAATGAACAATATCTAATAACAACAATCCTTTGAACTTTGAATACAGAGTTAAAGTCAACAACAGATAGAAGAGGAAGATGTAGACTAGAAAATACATTTATAGTACTGTAGTATATTTATTAATATTGTAAGTTTACACTCTTTTTAGAGACTCTATGTGTAAATAATCCCATAGGAAATGTGGGTCCAAAAGAAGCCAAGAGGGTTTATTCTGTCTTAGTTCCTTTTGAAGTCAAAGGTTTCGGAAGAAAATCTTACAAGAAAAGTGGGTAAGTTGAGTGAAAGACACATTTGGCTCTTGGTTTAAGTAAGAGAGATGTAAATAGGAATCACATCACGGTTGGAATCAGGATCACAGGGCTTCTTGTTTCTGTTAAGTTGGAAAACAAATGTGCTTTCATTATGGGACGAGTCTTTTCTGCTAGGCCTTCTTGTGTTCCTCTGGTTGAACACTTATGTTAAAAATAATTATAGAAAAAAAATAAATGTAACGTGACATAGAACAGCTGTGACCTGATTAGTCTACAGCTTGAGCTAACAGAGCTGCAATTTAACGCAGGCATACCCCAGGCTGAGAGGAATGGGGGGCTGGGGAGCTCCCTGACTGCAATGAGAGACTTAAGAGATCATGGAAATGGTTGTGACAAGCTAGAGGCAAATTAGTGGGAGGCCGACCGCAGCAATCCCAGAGGTGGTACAAGCCATGAAAATGAATCATGTTTTCACTCCCTTTCCCCTTTCCTCTATTTTGAATAAGAAGTGTGAATGTCAGATTTCCAAATTGCCCAGAAAGCAAAGCCAGGAGCAGAGGAGCTGCCACAGATGACAGAGTTGCTTGCGGGTGATGCCCTGCACAGAGGCCTCTGGGCACAGGAGGAACCAGAGGGCTGGCCAGGAGCCAGACCAAGTGTATCTGACATTTTTTAGCCACCACAGGTCAGGCATCCACAAGCTGGATGTGGGGAAGGAGCAGAGTTTCAATTTTCAGATGTCAACTATGCATTTAATGCTTGTTACTTCCTATTAATGAGATGCTCTTTTACGGGGAGTTGGTAGAAAGAGTTCCAGGAAATGGATTAAGTAGAACATGTCTGTTGCATATTTCAAATATTCCAGGAGTGCTATAAAGGAGGGGGGAATGGAAAGTGCCCCCAAAGCAAAGTTGCATGAAATTAATTGCCTGCTATGCTCATGAATTGTCTTACATAGTTCTGTATATAATAACTTCTAATATTCTTACGGATTACCTTAATTTCAGGGTTCTGCATATGTTATATCATTTAATTCTGTTTTTGATGGGGACAGGCTATGGGCTACACCTGGCTGTGCTCAGGGCTTACTCCTGACTATGCTCAGGATTACACCTTGTGGGGTTTAGGAGACCCATATGGGGTGCTGGAGATGTGACCCAGTTCTGCTGTGTGCAAGGGAAGAACCTTATTGGTGATTGTATTTTTCTGATTCTCTCATTTACTTTTTATGCAATTCTGGGAAGCTGACAAAGCTTTAACTTCAAATTCACAAATGAGTAAGTGGAGACACAGGGAGATTAAACAAATAGCTTGTCTAAGGTTATATATAATACAAGTGTCAGAAACAGGATTTGGATCCAGATACCTAGACTCTGCAGCTACACTTTAAACCCTGAGATGTATCATCTAAGCTGCATTTCATTATCCACCATGCCTTCATTGTGTTGATTTTATTTCTGTTTGAAACCACATACATTTATAGAGGCTTTGTTTATAAAGACAGAATCCTGAAGTGACCTGGATTATTTAAGTATAAAGCTTTGGTTACATATTTAAATTTCTTTTTTGTTTGTTTTTTTCAGGAGGCAGGCATACCCAGCAATTCTCAAGGTTACTTCTGGCTCTATCCTCAGGAATTACTCTTGAATGTGCTCAGGGAACTATGTGGAATGCTAGGGATTGAACATAAATTGGCCATGTGCATGGCAAACACCTTGTACCCTGTACTATCTCTCTGGTCTAAACTTCATTTTCAAAAAAGTGTTTTGGAGAACCACACCCAGTGGTGCTCAAGGCTCTCATGGCTCTGTGTTCAGAGATAACTCCTGACAGGGCTCGAGGGACCATATGGAGTCCCAAGGAGTGAACTATTTGCAAGGCAAGTGTCCTACCCACTATGCTATCTCTCTGGTTTTCATAAACTTCATTTTTTTAAGTTATACAAATATCTGGCATTAGCCTCTTCTTACCTCTTTTCCACACGTTTGGTCTTGAAGCGCTGCTGCTTTTCCTCTACAAATGAGGCATTCAGTGCTCTGTGTAATCTCTGGTGGAAAGAACAGATTCACAAAGAGGATCATTAGAAACTCAGGTGACAGGACAAGGAACTGTCTGAGATGGAACAACATACCTTTGTCTCCACAAAACTCGAATCTTTTATCGAATTCCCAGGGATGCCCGAAAACAAATCAGCTCTCAGCTCAAACTCTCAGGAGAACAATAATTCGTGATTATTATTCTCCCTAGAGGAACTAAAAGTCAATTTGAGAGGAAGCTCAGAATTACTCTGGGTGGTAAGAAGTTTCCTGAAGCAGAATGGAGCTCTCACAAGGAATGTTTGCTACAGGCAAGTCAGAAACTTCAGTTTGGGGGCCAGGAGATAGCTTAGGGTCGCGGCACATGTCTAGCAAGCACAAGACTTCTGGTTTAGTTTAACCCCTGCCATTATCTGATGTGACCCTACATAGGGCTAGGAATGGACCCAAGTGCCCTGAATGTTGTTGGGATCCCATCCTTGATCCTCCAAAAGCAAACAAAGGAAACAGCAAACCCCTTCAGTGTCTATTTCTGAGAAGCCCGGAGAAGGAAAAAGGACTTGAGAATGACATTAAAACTACTGTAACTATCTCACGGTGATGCAATAAAAAAACTAAACAAACAAACACAAAATAACAACCAAAAACCCCAAAAAACTATTGACACATAAAGGAGAACACAGATTATGAGCAGAACCCAACTTTGGAGACCAAATACTTCCTAGGGCGAAGTGATCGGAGGGTTCAAATGATTGAGATCTATCTAGGAAAACCTAAACAACTGACTGTGTTTACAAAGCGGGAGCTGCCTGAGATGACATGCAGGGGGCCAAAGTGACAGAAGTGGCACCTTGCTGAGGGTGGGGCCAGCTCTGGTGCCCCTGGAGGCAGAAGGGTGCCCATTCAGAGTGGTCAGGGTGCTCCTCTGGACTCACCTCTCACCATGATCTCACGAAACTACCCCCTTTGAGCCCCTGCAGCCTAAGGAAGTCTTCTGTGTCTGTTTTGACCTTTCTTTGTGCCCATTTTCTCAGGGAGAGACATGCCAATGTGTGTGTCTGTGTGGGTGGTTGGCCTGACTTTTTCCTACAAGTGAATGCTGGTGTCAGTTGGACCTCAAAGAAAGCTCCTGGCCCACATAACTTGATCTTGGCATTGGTAGACCTCAAACCTCTGAACCAAAATAAACCCAGAACAAAATAACACAAAAACCCACAGGAAACAAGAGAGAGAGAAAAAGAGAGAGAGAGAGAGAGAGAGAGAGAGAGAGAGAGAGAGAGAAGAAAGAAGGGAAGAAAGGAAGAAAGAAGGGAAGAAAAGAAGAAAGAAGGGAAGAAAGGAAGAAAGAAGGGAAGAAAGGAAGAAAGAAAAGATGGAGGCAGAGGGTAACAGAGGAAGGAAGGAAGGCAAAGAAAGAAAAAATCAAGCAAGCAAGCAGGAAAGTCTGTAGGGAAAACGTTTTTCATATCTTTAGATTGTCACCCTTTGGTATTAGTGTTTCCCAAGAGACATTCATGGGGTCAGGGGACACTGCTGGTGACACTCAGCAAACTGGACCCATGGTACAATGCAAGGACCTGAGAATGCAGTGCCCCCTGAGTCCTGTGTGGCTGAGGACCACCAAGGTCCCCAGAGGTGCTCAGGGCTTCCAGGGCTGCACCCGACTATGCACCTGGCTCTTCTAAGGAGTCCTTGCGGTGCCAATAATCAGCTCTGGCACATGCACCCTAACTCCTCTATCTCCTGGGTTCTCAGGTTGTGACTCTTATTTGAAACCAGGTTAGAAACAATTCTGTTCTTTCCATCATGAGCAATACCGATTCTAGAAAAGGAAATTGAAACATGAAGGAAGAGCTGCAGTTCAAAGGTAATTGCGGCAAAGGACTTCACGGAATTGAATTACTTATTTCCTACAAAAAGTGTCTACAGCACCTGTTTCCCCATGGTACTTTAACATTCCTCAGTCTGACTTAAGGCTCTCAATCCTCCCCTTCCTGGGACTCTGACATGGAAGAAGGTTGGGGCAAGATACCGGGCCACTCACCTGACTGGTGTGGAGCCAGTACTGCAGCTTGGATTTGTTCTTGATTCGTGGGAGCAGCAGCCTGTACACAATGTGCTCACCGATGGTGGTCAAGATGGACAGACCGAATCCGACGCACAGCAGCACGAAGAGTCCAGAGAAGTGTTTGATGCCCATCTGAAGGGTCTGTGGATGAACAGCAAAGCTAAGGCCATGAACACATTGCTGCTGAGCTCCATACTCACTCACTCAACTCTCAGAGGCGGACACCAGTGTTCAATATGTGCTTTGCACTCCATAGGCAATCCAGCAGACTGCCCAGCTGCTGGCACATTCCTGGGTGCTGGCCACAGAGTAATCAATGGTAAAAATGGTTCCCGCAGCTGTGCAGAGGTTTCTGTATCTTCTACCGTCTTTTAAAGACAGGTTACGAGGAACCAATCTTTATTTCTACTTCTTTAATGTCTATTTTTTTTTCTCTGGGTCCCATCTGGTGATGCTCAGGGCTTACTCCTGGCTCTACACTAAGGAATTACTCCTGGTAGTGCTTGGAGGACATATGGGATGCCGGGGATTGAATCTGGGTCGGTTGAGGCAAACAAACTACCCATTGTACTATTGCTCCAGTCCCTTCATTCCTACTTCTTTTTTTTCTTTGATAATATTTTATTTTATTTTTTAAAAAGTTTTTAGTGAAATACCATGAGGTACAGTTGCAGACTTACAAATTTTTGTGCTTGAGTTTCAGTTATACAATGATCGAGTACCCATCCCTCCACCAGTGCCCACTCTCCACCACGAATGATCCCAGTATCCCTCCCATCCCCCCATCCCACCCTGCCTCTGTGACAGGGCGTTCCCTTTTGCTCTCTCTCCCCTTTTGGGTGCTCTGGTTTGCAAAAAAGGCATTGAGTGGCAATCAAGTTTGGTCTATAGTCTACTTTCAGCATGCATCTCTCATTCTGGTAGGATCCTCCCAACATCCTTTATTTGGTGCTCCCTTCTCTATCTGAGCTGCCTTTTCCTCTAGCATGTGCGGCTAGCCTCCAAGCCATGGAGTGAACCTCCTGGTATTTATCTTGGCTATTCTTGGGTGTTAGTCTACTATTTTGTTAATTTATATTCCCCAGATGATTGCAATATTTCTATGTCTGTTCCTCTCTTTCTGACTCATTTCACTTAGCATGATGCTTTTCATGAAGTACTACTTGTATGTAAATTTCATGACTTCATCTTTTCTAACAGCTGCATAGTACTCCATTGTGTAGATGTACCAAAGTTTCTTTAACCAGTCATCTGTTCTCGGGCACTCGGATGTTTTCCAGATTTCGGCTATTGTGAACAGTGCAGCAATGAACATAGAAGTGCAGATGTCATTTCGACTGTACTTTTTTGCCTCTCCGGATTATATTCCCAGAAGTGGTATTGCTGGGTCAAATGGGAGCTCAATTTCTAATTTTTTGAGAATTTCTTTCATTCCTACTTCTAAGGGAATCTTTTCAGTAAACGCTTTCCAACTGGGGAAAATTAATATATTCACTTAATATACTAAAGCATTTGATGTTTATCAAGAGGAAATAAAAACTCCCCTAGGGATACAGAATGAATAGGTTTAAGGGGAAAAGATGATGAGTTCGACAATTTCCAAATTTAGATCTGGCAGGGTACATAAGAACCATCTAGTTCCTCGGTTCTTAAATTGTGAGTCGTGAACCCACAAGGAGTGACATAAACTGAAAGTGGGGGTTACAAAATATTTGGCAACAGTTTCTGAATGTACAATGACCAAAAAAAACCTAAAGTCAGCTGAATAATGAATCCAAAGTGTTTCTGGCAGTGCCTCCTACGTGGGTGAAAAGGGGCTAAAAGTGGAACAGGTTCAAGAAAACCTGATTAATAAATGCCCCCATTTCATAGATGAGGTGCCAGAGTCTGGAAGAGTGATGGAACTGAGCCAGATCAAAAAGCTAGACAATCATAGAGGAGGAAGAGAAGTTACAATACTTACTACTTATTTATGCTTACTTTTGTCAGGTGTTTGATTGCTTGTTTTTTTCTGGTTTTATTTTGAGTGTTTTGGGTTATACCTGGCACTGATCAGGGCTTACTCCTATCTCTATGCTCAGGGATCACTCCTGGAGGTGCTCGGGGGCCCATATGTGATGCTGGGGATAGAACTATGGTCAACAGAATGCAAGGAAAGTGCCTTGCTTGCTATACTATATTTTTGACTTACCTTGCCTTTATAATCTTGCTTTGTAGCTGAAGAAACTACAAAGTACCAGTAGCTTTGAAAGGACAAAGTTGGTGTCTAAATTCATGTCGGTGTAGCTCTTTTGCTATTAAAGAATCAGCCACAGATACAGCTACAGCTGAAGCAGGCACTTTGCTAATTGATTTACAGACACTAAGAAAACCCTCACATAGGCCTGGAGAGACAGTACAGGAGCTAAAGTGCTTTCTTTGCACGCTAACACTAGCATTGCATGAGCACAGAACTGAGAGTTGCCCTTAGCATCACTGGGTATGGCCTCAATACTGCAGGCCCAAAGTGAAAAGAATAGAAAAAGAAAACCTTCACGTATATCCTACTGAACATATTTTATTCAGTTGCTGACATCAATGACAAGGAAATTCCCACAGAAGGAAAGGCATTTGAGACACCAAGGACCTACTGTGTGTCAGACACTCCTCTAAGTACCAAGGACTGGATTAACTCCCAGCCTTTCGGTATGGAGATTTCTCAAAACTGTAAGAATAGAACTCATATATGACAAGTGCTTCAACTTCTTTTTTTTCACAATACTAAATAATTTATTTTATTTTTTTATCACTCAAATACAGACTTTCCCCCAAATACTTAAGTGGCTTCAGTGTGGTAGAATGCATTTGTCGATAATTTACTAGCCAGTGCATTCTTAAGTTGAAGGTCATTTGATCATTATTTACAAAGTCCATTCAAAGAGTCGAGAGATTGTTAATCTTATTTGTAAGCCACTTCTACATTTTTTATTTCTTTTTTATTTAAAAAAAAATTGAATCACTGTGAAATACAGTTACAAAGCTTTCATGTTTGAGGTTTAGTCATACAATAATCAAACACCCATCCTTTCACCAGTGCACATTTTCCACAACCAATGTCCCCAGTATCTGCCCCTCCCATCCCAACCCTCTCCCTGCCATAGGGCAGACAATTTCCCCCATAATCTCTCTCTCCTTTTGGACATTATGGTTTATAACATAGGTACTGAGAGGCTATCACGTTTGGTCCTTTATCTACTTTCAGCACATATCTTCCATCCCTAGGGATCCCTCTAACCATTATTGACTTAGTGATCCCCTCACTATTCCAGCTGCCTTCTCCTCCAACTCATGAGGCAGGCTTCCAACTATGGAGAAAAATTCCTGGCCCTTGTATCTATTGTCCTTGGATGTCAGTCTCATATCATGTTATTTTATATTCCACTAGTGAGTGTATTCATTCTATGTCTGTCCCTCTGACTCATTTCAATTAGCATGATACTCTCCACTTATAAACAAATTTCATGACTTCATCTTTCCTAACAGTTTCATAGTATTCTATTGTGTAGATATACCAAAGTTTCTTTATTTTATTTATTTTATTTTTTTATTAGTGCATGCAGCCAACATGGCTGACCCAAGTTCAATTCCTCCACCCCTCTCGGAGAGTTGGCAAGCTACCGAGAGTATCTTGCCCGCCTGGCAAAGCCTGGCAAGCTCCTCGTGATGTATTCGATATGCCAAACACAGTAACAACAAGTCTCATAATGGAGATGTTACTGGGCCCGCTCGAGCAAATTGATGAACAATGGGAAGACAGTGACAATGACAGTTTTTATTTCTGAAACATCATGAGGTACAGTTGTAGACTTAGAAACTTTGGTGCTTGGGTTTCAGTTATACAGTGATTGAGTACCCATCTCTCCACCAGTGCACATTCTCCACCACAAATGATCCCAGTAGCCCTCCCACCCCCCCAACCAATCCCCCCAGTCACCCCCACCCCACCCTGCCTCTGTGGCAGGGCATTCCCTTTTGCTTTCTCTTTCCTTTAGGGTGTTGTGGTTTTCAATAGAGGTATTGAGTGGCCATCATGTTCAGTCTAGTCTACTTTTAGCACACATCTCGCGTCCTGAACAAATTTTCCAAACACCCTTTACTTGGTGTTTCCTTCTCTATCTGAGCTGCCTTTTCCCCCAGTATGTGCTTCTGGGTTCCAAGCCTTGGAGCAGAACTCCTGGTACTTATTTCAACTATTCTTGGGTGTATGTCTACCATTCTGTTACTTTATATTCCCCAGATGAGTGCAGTCTTTCTATGTCTGTCCCTCTCTTTCTGACTCATTTCACTTAGCAGGATGCTTTCAATGTAGAACCACTTGTATGCAAATTTCATGACTTCATCTTTTCTAACAGCTGCATAGTATTCCATTGTGTAGATGTACCAAAGTTTCTTTAACCAGTCATCTGTTCTTAGGCACTCGGGTTGTTTCCAGATTCTGGCTATTGTGAACAGTGCTGCAATGAACATACAGGTGCAAATGTCATTTTTACTGTGTTTTTTTTCACCTTTGGGATATATTCCCAGAAGTGATATTGCTGGGTCATATGGAAGCTCAATTTCTAGTTTTTAAAGAAATGTCCATATTGTTTTCCAAAATGGCTGGACCAGTCGGCATTCCCACTAACAATGAAAGAGTCTCTTTCTCCCCACATTCACACCAGCACTGGTTGTTCTTTTTGATGTATGCCAGTGTCTGTGGTGTAAGATGATATCTCACTGTTGTTTTGATTTGAATATCCCTGATGATTAGCGATGTAGAGCATTTGGAGATGCAATTCAATCAGGGAGTTGACATTTTGAATCTACAGTTTTAACCATTCTCTCCACCTGTATCTACTCCCCATATTCGATAAATAGCTAGCCAGTCATGAAGACAGGATATCTATCTGGGCTGGGGTTGGGATAACAGGGATCAGAGGCAGATCTTGGAGACTTCAGATATTGGTACAGATTGAGCCATTGAATCTCCTTCCTCTTGATGGTACTTTAGGCAGTGGCCTTGGATCAAAGATTATACTAGAATCTCCCTTGAGAAGGAAAGACTAAAAATGACTCAGAGTACAGAGGATGCATGAGCCCTAGGATTCTGAGACACAGACAGG